AAACTAAAATGACAAATGCAAAATGGAAATCTTTGAGTATTATAGGACGATATTTAACATTAGATCTTTCATCAACACGTCTCATGTTTTCTTCCTTTTCTTCTATAATTTTATTCTTCCAAAAGCTCATACTATGGCCAGATTCTATAAACCATAGCACCACAGTATCTGAGCGTTGTTTCAATGGCCAATCTTTACGTGCAATAAAAGAATAATAATCATAGGCGAGTGGTTTTTTTGATACACGAAGATGTTTATGTTGTGAAGCTAATGATATTAGATCAGGCCTATCGTTTAAACATACAGCAGCAGTATTGTTTAATATTACAGAAGCACAATCATAATTATTCATGAGAATAATTTTATCACGAATTAAATGATTTGAATAATCAAAACTCACATTATTTGGTACATATATGACCTTAATATAAGAATCTTCTAGACTTTTAGTAGTTACTGGAGTGGATCTAAGTTCTGGTTTAGTTAAGAAAGCTGATAGATTTCCACTGAATGTAGCATGTATAATAAGAAAGAAAACAAAAATAACAAAGAAAAAAATTCTCAATGGTAATTTATTGATTTTACTAAGTAATGCTGAATTTGTGAGTAACCGAAGTACTTCAAACATTGCAAAATGACAGCTTCTTTTCCCTTGAGATATTAAAACAACAAAAAAAACTATACTGAGAACAATTGTTCCAGAAACTACTGTGATAACACCGTAATATTTTTGTATCTTTTCAAGAGGTGTATAATATCCGCGTTTTTGCATGATTGTCGTTGTTTCATAGGCTATGAAAGGAAATAGAAGTGGAAAATTGTCTATTGCATGCATTGGAAGAACACCAAATGTAAGATCATATAAACCTTCTCCTAAACCTTGATAAATACATTCAGGATTCCGATAATCATATTTAAAATAAACAACTGATAAATTAATATTCAGTGATTTTGCAAAGGCATGTGATATATCAGTTCTCACAAAATCTGCTGCTTTAAGTTTTGATGGATCATAGCCTGGTTTCAGGAGCTTGGAATTACTGTAGAATATTGCTGAAGTTGCTCTGACTTGGTATCCATTAAGATATTTTGAACGATCGAATCGAATATCTTTACAAATTTCGTTATCTGAAAATATGATGTAAAAGTTAAATACTATTAGAAGTTAAAATTTTTTTAATATATTAATCATTACTGTTATAAAATGGACGATTATATAAACTCCAGTGATTATCCTTTCCTTTATTTGTTTTAACGTATTTCCATGACTTAGGTGCCCATTTAATATAGGGATTGAAAGTATACATCATTACAATTTTATTAGAATTTTTACATATAAAAATGGTAGTTGGTATATTGATACTCCAAACCATTTTTAAAATAATTTCAGCATCTTTACAAGCTCTTGATGTATGATCGAAAATAAAAAAAGTAGCCATTATATTCCACCAAGGAGTATTTTTTAAAGACCATAGTGTATCATTCAATTGCTTTTTACTTCTGTACGATAAAAGATGAAAATTCATTTCATTAGGTTTATTACAATTAGCATTGAACGTTTTAGAGTTATTGTAGAGAATAACAGAAATCGATGGTGCTGTCCATAAGAATTCAATTATGTCAGATTCAGAATTACATAAAATAGTTGTTCGTCGCTCAGGATAACAGGAAATCAGTGTAGATGTCTATCAAAAGATATAACAATTTTTTAATTTCATTAATATTCAAAACTGTTTTGAATTATTACTAATGATTATTAATTACAATAGAATTGTTGGTTGATAAATATTCATCCTTAGATGATAAAATAAATGATTCAATTTGTTGACCGACACATAGAATAAACCAATATAAGTAGAATTCTTTCATTTTATATAATTTTCAACACAACACTCGAGACATGATAATGGTTAATACACTGTTTTAAGAAGTGACTTTGCAATTGATGTTGAATGTTTGAAATTAAATTGCTTTTTCAGATTATCTTTTCACTCGTTAGAAATTAAACTGTTGTCTTTATTACATTTGATTGTTCAATATTTTATGAAATAGATGAAAGTAAATGAATTGGAATAGAAAAGCAACTTGTAGGGTGATTTATATCCTGAACATCAATCAAATAGTAGAATAATCACTAACTATATGGTTTTGAAAAATTATTTTGCTTTTAAATTTATTAATTATTTATTTAAAGAGTCGTGAATTAAATGAAAAATATATTGGTATAATAATTATAGATATTAAAGAATAGACTATCAAAGACTTTTCTTCTTTTATCTATAGAGATTTATTTTATATTAAGTCAATTTTGTTATTACATAAAAAAAACTCATTCAACTTTCCGACATATTTTAAAAACTAATAATTCTAAAAGAAAGCATATCATTGCTAAAGCATGACCAAATGCTAGCAAAATGAAAGTAAAAGAAGAATCAACAAATGATATTGCACGATATGTTCCAACTAATTTAGCTTCTGCACGTTTCATTTTCTCTTCTTCTTTCTCAATAAATTTTCTTGCCCAAAAGTCAGAACTATATCCAAAATCTGCGAACCACACCATTACAGTATCTGCACGATCTTTTAATGGCCAATCATTGCGTGCAATGAATGAAAAATAATCTGATGCTAGTGGTTCGTTTGATACATGTAAATTATCATGTTCTGCAGCTAAAGTTATTAAATCAAGTTTATCGTTTAGACATACAGCTGTAGAGTCATTTAAAATTACTGAAGCACAGTCAAAATTATCCATAAGAAAAACTTTATTTTGTACAATTGGATGTGAATAGTCAAAACTGATATCTCTTGGCATATAAATTCTTTTAACTGAAGCATCTTTCAGATCTACTGATATTTCAGGTGTTTTTCTAAGCTCTTTTTTTGTTAAGAATGATGACAATCTTCCACTAAATGTAGCATGCATTATTAGAAAGTAAAAAAAAATTACCAAAAAAAATATTCTGAGAGATTGTGTTGTCATTTTGGTATGTAAAGATGCATTGGTTAATAATCGAATGATTTCAAATATAGCAAAAGCCAATCCTCTATTTTTTTGAGATTTTATCACAATAAATGCAACAATTCCAGTAATAATAATTAAAGAGATAGCTGTTATAATCCCATAATAATTTATTATTTTTTCAAGTGGTGTATAGAAGCCTCGTTTTTGCATAATCATAGTTGTATAGAATGCTGTTGTAGGATAAAGAAGAGTAAAGTTCTCTATTGAATGCATTGGAAGAACACCAAATGTTAAATCATATTGTTTACCTAAACCGTAATAGATGCACAGAGGATTCTGGAAGTTATACTCAAAAAAATCCGTTGTTAAATTAATATTAAGTGATTTTTTAAATGCTGTCGTTATGTCATAAGTGACCATGTCTGTTATACTCAAAGTTGATGGGTCAAAGTTTGGTTTTAATAGTAGAGAATTGCTATAGAAGATAACTGAAGAAGCATTGACAGGATATCCGTCAAGATATTTCGTTCTATCAAAGTCAAGATTAATGCAAATATCATCATCTATATGAACAAATCGAAATCATTTTAATTATAAAATACAACAATTTTTATGTTCACAATTATTTAGAAGGTATTATTATCTTACCATGATATTGACGATTGTAAATATTTGTAGATCATTTGATGGATTGGTTATCACCTGGACATGCTTCCATGGTTCTGGTGCTCTTTTTGTGAAAGGATTGAATGTATAGACCATTAGTTGATTAGAGTCATAACATAAAAATAGAATTATCAATATATTGAAGTTCCAAGCTGTTTTAAAAATATTTTCAATATTTCCACATGTTCCATTTGATCGGTCCAGAATAAGAAATGTTGCCATGATATTCCACCAAGGAGTATTTTTTAATGAAACTATCATCTCATAGAGCTTGTCAATTGATTTGAATGATATTATGAAGAAATTAACTTTATTAGGCATCTCAATTGCTTCATTTAAGATTCTAGAAGTGTTGTGTAGGATTACAGGAATCAAACTTGATGATAACCACAAAGATTCAATTAAATCAGAATTTGGTGTATCATATGAAACAACAACTGTTTGATGTGGATAACATTTAGTCAATCTTGATATCTAAATAGTAAAGATAACAATGTACAGAAAATAAAAATCTTCTCTAAAAATAAAACAGCGAAAATCACTGATAAATGATGATAGTAATACAAATGGTTTAATTCTAGCATAACTTTCCTACTTAATTTTAAGAGAGTTTTCAAATGGGTTTTTATTTTTAATTACCGCTACGGTGTTGAATGTAGGAAAATCTTCAAATGCTGATAACATAAAAAGGGATTTACTGAGTAAATTAATTAAAAAAAATAACGAAATAATGATTTTTAAAAATATAAACATTGCACAACAAGTGAAATTTTCAATACATGAGTCATAACGATACTGAAAAAAAAATCTGATTTTCTACATGAAGTGAACATGCACTTGTTGTAAATTATGTATAAGATACATAGTAATCATTTCATTTATGATATAGTATTTTGTAATCTTTTACGACAATTTTAATATTCGTTATCACTTTTATGAATCTTGTTATGAAATATATATACTCTGTGAAAATGAATTAGTAAATATATTTACTATTTATATATTCACTGTTTTACTGTGTCTTCCACTGATTCATTTTAAGGGAGTAATTTTTATTTTCTGTTTAATTATTGTCCCAAATATTTTATTGGTTCATTGATAACTTCTCCAAAATAATTTATATCTAATTAAAAAGTTATATGAAGTAAATTACTTCATGTCAGAACTCAAACGATCTTATGATACTAAACATGAATAGTCATAAAATGATTATAATTATTCACGTCAGAAATTGTAACTTTTTATTCTTTTTTTTTTTCAATCAATGTACTTTATTAATCAATATTTTGTCTATTTTTATTTCTTCAAACTTTTTTTCATATATATTATAAAGATTTCTAAAATTGATTGTATATTTTGTTTGTTACAGATTAATTCAGACGTGTGGAATCACGAATGTCATCAAAAATTGATTAAATGATTCTGAATTCTACTTGTTAAAAATCATCCAAAAAACGTAGAAGTAATCATGGCTCCACCAGATCCTCTTACGCAAATGAACGCGTACAGGTCGTACGTAACGGTGTTGGCAGATGCCAACTCAAAAGACGAACTGAAGCTAAAAGCAGCTCAAGAACTATCAGAGAACTTTGAAGTTATTATGTGTTCGTCACAGTATCCTGCATTTTTGGATTATATAATGAAGATTTTCTTAAAAATTTTACAAGAAGGTGAACCACATTTCATATCGGAATATAATATTCAACAAGTACGAAAGTTGATATTAGAAATGATCCATCGATTACCAACAAATGAATATTTGCGACCGTATGTCAAACAAATTCTAAGCTTGATGTTGAAGTTATTGGAAACTGAAAATGAAGAAAATATTCTTGTTTGTCTTCGAATTATTATTGAACTTCATAAACAATATAGGCCAACATTTAATCCAGAAATTCAACATTTTCTTCAATTTGTCAAGTCAATTTATAGTGAATTGCCGAAGAACTTGCCAAAAATATTCGAACCTCGACCACCAATTCGTGTGAAAGATTTATCTGAAATAAATATTGATACACTTTTAAAAGAAACTTTCACCATAACTCCAATTCAGAGTGAAAAAAAAGCTGCTGATGGTACAGTAATTACTTACAATCTTATTCCAAAAGCAGTTTTGTCCCTGAAAGTTCTTCAAGAATTACCAATAATCGTAGTTCTTATGTATCAAATATATAAACAAAATGTGCATCAAGACGTGGCTGATTTTATCCCTTTAATTATGACTACAATCACACTTCAACCAAGTGCTCAACATAGAGCATCTCCAGGATTTAATAAAGAAGTATTCGTAGATTTTATGGGTGCTCAAATAAAAACATTAAGCTTCTTAGCTTATATAATTAGAATTTATCAAGACGTTGTATCCCAACACAGCACAATGATGGTAAAAGGAATGTTAGGGTTGTTGACTTTATGCCCAATGGAAGTAGCTCATTTGAGAAAGGAGTTATTAATAGCAGCAAGGCATATTTTAGCAACAGATTTAAGAACTAAATTCGTACCACACATGGAAAGACTTTTTGATGAACAAGTTTTATTAGGAAATGGCTGGACCACTCATGAATCATTGAGACCTTTAGCTTATTCAACTCTTGCCGATTTAGTTCATCATGTTCGCACTTTATTACCTTTAAGTGATCTTGCACGAGCAGTTCATTTATTCAGCAAGAATGTCCATGACCAAAGTCTTCCAACAACTATTCAAACCATGTCTTGTAAGTTATTATTGAATTTAGTAGAATGCATTCGACAAAGAAGTGATGCTGAAAATAGCAACCAAGGACGTGAATTATTGATGAGAATGCTTGAAGTTTTTGTGCTTAAATTTAAAACTATTACAAAACTACAATTACCAATTTTATTAAATAAAGTCAACAAGCAAACAGCATTACCTACAGTTAATTCCGAGGTAAAGAGTGAAGATAAACCGACTATTATTAATGAAGCAAATGAATTGGACAAAGACACTGGAAAATCAAAATTTTTTACTCCTCAATCTCAAGCAATGAACTATAATGTTGCTGATTATCGTAGCTTAGTTAAAACCCTAGTTTGTGGGGTGAAAACGATAACTTGGGGCTGTGCTAACTGTAAATCTGGTGATGTAATTCAGTCGAAGCAATTTCAACCAAAAGAAACTCTTGTTTTTATCAGGCTAGTCAAGTGGGCACTTCAAGCTTTAGATATTTATACAATCGGTCCCTTTAAGTGTTGGAAATATGATTCACCCATCTCATTATCAATCTCAATCTCAAGCTCAATATCATTATCACTATTCTAATGTTAGATCGACAGTTCAACCACAAACTGTAAGGACGAAAGAAGAAAAAGAAGTTCTTGAGCATTTTAGTGGTGTATTCTCAATGATGAATCCTCAAACATTCCAGGAAATTTTTTCAACTACGATAGATTACATGGTAGAGAGAATCTTTAAGAATTGTGCGCTACAAATCGTTGGTAATTCATTTTTAGCTAATCCGACGACATCACCAATCTTTGCTACTGTTTTGGTAGAATATTTATTGGAGAGAATGGATGATATGGGCTCAAATGTTGAAAGAAGTAACTTGTACTTAAGATTATTTAAACTAGTCTTTGGAAGTGTGTCTTTATTCCCAGCTGAAAATGAACATATGCTAAGACCTCATTTGCATCAAATCGTTAATCGATCAATGGAACTTGCAATGTCTGCAAAAGAACCTTACAACTATTTTTTACTTCTTCGAGCTCTATTCAGATCAATCGGTGGTGGATCTCACGATTTATTATATCAAGAATTTCTTCCTTTACTACCAAATTTGCTCGAGGGTTTAAATCGACTTCAATCAGGACTTCATAAGCAGCACATGAAAGATTTGTTTGTTGAATTGTGTCTTACTGTACCAGTTAGATTGAGCTCTCTATTACCTTATCTTCCAATGCTGATGGATCCATTAGTATCAGCTTTAAATGGCAGTCATACTTTAGTGAGTCAAGGTCTGAGAACTCTGGAATTATGTGTGGACAATCTGCAACCAGATTTTCTCTATGAACATATACAACCAGTACGAGCTGATTTAATGCAAGCTCTTTGGAGAACTTTGAGGAATCCAAGTGATCAAGTTGCTCATGTTGCTTTTCGAGTTCTTGGGAAATTCGGTGGTGGTAACCGTAAAATGATGATTGAGCCACAGAAGTTGGAATATAATAATAGAGATAACAATAATACTCCAGCTATTGTTATAAACTTTCCTGATTCTAATAAACCAATTGATTTTCCAGTAGAACAAGTCATTGAAACTGCTTTTTCAGCATTAAAATCTAGTACAACGGACTCTTTTTACCGAAGACAATGTTGGGAAATCATTAATAGCTATTTATTAGCATCTTTGCAGTTGAATGATAGCAAAAATGATCGAATTATTTTACATAAATTATTCACACATCCTAATTTTAAAGATTGTCCTATTCCACATCAACAATCACAAGATCTTAATTACAAATACTCTGATTTAGTAGGAAGAAATGTTCTTCAAACAGCTTTAACTGGAATTTTCGTTGCTGCTGCTATTAAAGATTTGAGACAATCTGTTCTTGGTACAATGGTATCTTTAGTAAGACATTATACCATCATAGCAATTGTTCAGCAAGCCGGACCATTTTGTTTAGATGATAAAATTCAAATAAACCACCACGGTCAAGACCCACTAGTTCTCATCGATGCTTTAGCAACAATTATGGGACATGAAGAAAAAGAATTGTGTAAACCTGGTCATCTAGCTCTTATATTAATTCTTGAAACAGCTACAAGTATATTAGGAACTAAAGAGCGTGCTTGCCAACTTCCAATGATGGAATATTTGGCAGAAAAAATGTGTGCATTGTGTTATGAAAGAGCTTGGTATGCTAAACTTGGTGGATGTATTGCAATTAAATTTTTATTTGAAAAGATGGCAACTAAATGGGTTTTAAATCATCTATTTGTCTTCCTAAAAGCTCTTATGTTTGTAATGATGGATTTGACTGGAGAAGTATCTAATGGCGCAATTGACATGGCTAAAGAAAATTTAGAACAAATGCTAAGAGTTTGTGTTAATTCAAATATTCAAAATACTAATCCAGAATTAATTGAAGCTCAAAACAAAAGTATTTATGAAGTGACTCACGAACTTGTGAGACAAGTAACATCTCCTCATACTCTAGTTAGAGAACAAGCTATGGCATCATTAAAATTACTTGGAGATATTCAAGGAAAAAGTGTTACTGAAGTTATGGAACCACATAAAGAAGTTTTAGCTGATATGATTCCTCCTAAGAAACATCTATTGAGACATCAGCCAGCAAATGCACAGATTGGCTTGATGGACGGTAATACTTTCTGTACAACTTTAACTCCACGACTATTTACAATCGATCTTCAAATTACAGAACATAAAGTATTCTTCCAGGAGTTACTGGCATTATCTGAAGTCGAAGATTCTACTTTAAATAAATTACCGTGCTATAAATCAATAACAAATTTAATACCTCTAAGGAAGTCAGCTTTACGAGCTTTGGCTGCTTGTCATTATATTGTTGCTTGTAGAGAAAAGATTTTTGGAGTTTTATATAGGACTCTTGAGAAACCAAATGCTGAACTTCAAGAAGCTGCTTTTGAATGTATGAAGAAATTTATTAGTGGTTTTCAAATTGACATGGAAGCTGTTCATGCTACAATGAGACCAATGTTATTGACTCTCGGAGATCATCGTAATTTAAGTTTGAACTGTGTGAAGCGACTTTCCTACTTGACTCAATTATTTCCAAGCACGTTCAGTATCACTTTGTGTGAACAACTTCTTCAACATCTTAAAAAATTATTAGAAAACTTAATCCAAGTACATAAAGGAGTATCCAAGTCTGGTGAAAGCGAACAAAAAATTGCAATAATTATTGGAATATTTCATCAAATCCCTGCTGCAACACCTAAATTTATTGATGTTCTCTGTCGACTTGTGCTTCAAACTGAGAAATCGCTACTTGTTGAAGCTTCCAGTCCATTTAGAATTCCTTTGATGAAATTCCTACTTCGATATCCAAATGAAACTTTAAATTTATTCTTACATGACAATAATATAAAGGATCAGCAATGGAGCAGATATTTAGAGTTTTTAATTAAACACACTGACGGAAAACCGTTTAGGGATGTACTTTATAATAATACTGGACGATTAATAACAATGCTATTAGCTCATTCTCAGACGAATTCTAACTTGAGTTTTACTGATAAGTGTGAGCTTCAACATCAATCAATAAGATTAATTTCTGTGCTAATTAAATATGATGACCAATGGCTTTCAAGTCAAACTCAACTTGTTGCTACACTTAAACAACTTTGGTGTAATGATGACTATCAAGCTCTTCACAAACGTGTCGATAGCGTTGATTTCAGTCGTTGGAAAGAGCCCAAATTAATTGTTAAAATTTTACTGCATTACTTTAGTCATCATCCAAATGATATTGATTTATTATTTCAACTTCTTCGAGCAACTTGTGACCGTTTCATTCCAGATTTCCAATTTTTGAGAGATTTTTTGGAGAATACAGTTGCGCAACAATATCAAGTAGACTGGAAACGGAATGCATTCTTTAGATTTGTTGAACATTTTCCATCAAACAACATGTCTCAAGAACTGAAAGCTAAAGTTTTACAGTTAATAATCATTCCATGTTTCTCTGTAAGTTTCGAACGAGGAGAAGGAGTTAAATTAGTTGGAGGTGCACCTATGCCTTATCAAGACAATCCAGAGAATGTAGTCTCTGTTTTCATAAGCAAAATAATTGATCCAGATAACCCATTTGGTTCATTTGACTGTTTAAGGATCTCTTTACTACAATTTTCATGCTTGTTAGTCGAACAAGCATCTCAGCATATTCACGACGTTACTAATAAACGACAAGGAAATAAATTAAGGAGACTAATGACTTTCGCATGGCCTTGTTTACTTGGAAAAAATTGTGTTGATCCAGCAACACGATATCATGGTCATTTACTTTTAAGTCATATCATTGCTAAATTTGCTATTCACAAAAGAATTGTTTTACAAGTATTCCATAGTTTACTTAAAGCACATGCTGTTGAAGCAAAAAATGTTGTAAAACAGGCACTAGAAATTTTAACTCCAGCAATGCCTGTAAGAATGGAAGACGGCAATACAATGCTAACACACTGGACAAAGAAAATAATTGTTGAAGAAGGTCATTCTATGCAGCAACTTTTCCATATTTTACAACTCGTTGTACGTCATTATAAAGTTTACTATCCAGTCAGACATCATCTAGTACAACACATGGTTAACTCAATTCAGAGACTTGGATTTAGTCCAACTGCTACAATTGATCATAGAAGATTAGCTGTGGAGTTAGCTGAAGTCATAATCAAGTGGGAGTTACACAGAATTAAAGATGAAGCAGATGCCGGAGAAGGAGGTCCAAGTTTAAAGAGGTTTGAATCTGATCCGACTGCTTCTTTGAATTCATCTTCTTCAACTTTATCAGCATCGTCTGGAATGTCTTCAGGATCCGGAGGAGGAAATAATTCTGGAACTCCTGGGGCATCAGGAATACCAATACCAACATCATCATCATCCTCATCAGCACCAATCGATAGAGCGCATGCAGATGCTATTTTAAACTTTTTATTGCGTTTAGCGTGTCAAGTTAACGATGCTACAACTCCAACATCAACAATGACAACAGGATCGTCAACTACTGGAGGTGGAACAAATCCAATGGCAGCAACAACATCCACAGCGACAATGCCTCAGGGTGAACAGCTGTCTCGACGTTGTGTCAATCTATTGAAAATGGCATTAAAACCAGATGTTTGGCCACAGTCTTGTGATTTGAAACTTGCCTGGTTGGATAAAGTTTTCTCGAGCGTTGATAGTGCTCAACCAAATTATGGAAATATTTGTACAGCTCTAGAACTTCTTACATTTTTACTTGGAGTTATGAAGAGAGAACAGATTTTATCGAGTTTCAAACCACTTCAACGAGGTCTTGGTGCTTGTATTAGTTCAAATAATACTAAAGTTATTCGATTAGTACATGGATTATTATCACGATTAGTAACTATATTTCCTCCTGAACCAACGTCATCATCAGTTGCTTCTAAATATGATGAATTAGATACTCTTTACACCACTGTTGGTAAATTTATTCTTGATGGTCTTGGTGCTTATGAGAAAAATACTTCCGCTAATCCTAGTTCATTATTTGGCACTTTGATGATTTTGAAAGCTGCTTGCACAAATAATCCAAACTATATTGATCGGTTTATCACACCATTTATGAGGGTTTTACATCGAATGGCCAAAGATCATCTCCAACCCGAACAAACAACTGAAACTAGCAATCCAGTGGGTAGTGAATTACTTATCTTAAGTCTAGATCTTGTAAAAAATCGTGTTGTAGTGATGAGTCCTGAAATGAGAAAATCGTTTATAGGATCAATTCTTGTTGGATTGATAGAAAAAACACAAGATATTAAAGTGATGAAAGCTATTACAAAAATGCTTGAAGAATGGATGAAGAATAAAAATCTAATTGCTATTAATCAAGCTCCAAGTCTTCGTGAGAAATCTATTTTATTAGTGAAGATGATGCAGTATGTTGAAAAGAGATTCCCAGATGATTTAGAACTAAATGGACAATTCCTAGAGCTAGTTAATTATGTTTACCGTGATGAAACTTTGAGATCATCAGAATTAACTTCAAAACTTGAACCAGCATTTATGAGTGGACTACGTTGTATTCAACCTCAAATAAGAGCTAAATTTTTTGAAGTCTTTGATGGATCTATGAGAAGAAGATTATACGATCGGTTGTTATACGTCGTTTGCAGTCAAAGTTGGGATGCAATGGGGCCTCACTATTGGATAAAACAATGTATCGAGTTAATAATCGTCACTGCAACATTATCTGCTCCAATAAAAATATCAAATCAAGATAATCTTTTACCTTCAATAAATTCAATAGTCAATTTGTCTGATACTGATGAAGATAAAAATTTGTATTTTGCACCAATTAAAGAAGAACCACAAGAATCAATGGAACTTGGAGAATCTCCTGAGCTTTCAGAACAAACTCAAACTGTTAATGAGCTCGAATCCGGTGATAAAAATGATGACTTACTTGACATTGATTTGAACGGCGACAGAAGTGATTCTATAAGTGGAATTGAAGCTAAAAAATCAACTTTAACTCAATTAATATCAAAACAAACGGAATTTTTAGAAAACGCGAGAAAGATCAAAACTGAACAATTTTTATTAGCATCTGCTCAACTATGTCATATGGACACTAATCTTGCTGAAAAAGTTTGGTTAGATATTTTTCCAAGACTTTGGTCAATTTTAGATCAACAACAACACAACACTTTGACTGCTGAAATTGTTCCATTTATTTGTTCAGGTACTCATGTGATTCAAAAAGATTGTCATCCATCAGCAATTGCTACATTTGTTGAAGCTATTTCTCACTGTGATCCTCCGATTCCTATAAGACCACCTTTAATTAAATATTTAGGAAAATCTCATAATCTCTGGCATCGAATGACGCTAAATTTAGAAAAAATGGCATTCGATGGAGAAAATAATTACGGAAATGATATAAATACTGGAAATATTGATAATAATTCAATGGATTTCGATGTTAATCATTCGGGTACCAATAGTCAATCAAGAGATAAACGAGATGTAGATTGTTATGATTTTGAACCAGATAATAGTCCACATACTCAAGTGTTAGATTCATTATCAGATATGTATTCTTTACTTTGTGAGGAAGATATGTGGTGTGGTTTATGGCAAAAACACGCACACTATAAAGAAACTGTTCAAGCAACAGCTTTAGAGCAGCAAGGTTTTTTTGAGCAAGCTCAAGGAGCTTATGATGTTGCCATGACAAAATTTAAACAAGATTATATTACAAATCCTGCTCCATTTAAAATCCAGAGGGAAGCTTTGTTGTGGGAGCAACATTGGATTCGCTGTGCGAAGGAATTAAATCAATGGGACCTATTGCTCGATTATGGTAGCAAAAAGAGTGAAAAAAATCCATTCCTTATTCTCGAGAGTTCATGGAGGATACCTAACTGGAGTATGATGAAAGAAGCTTTAACTCAAGTAGAACACAATTGTCCAAAAGAAATGGCTTGGAAAGTTAATCTTTATCGTGGATTTTTAGCCATATGTCATACTGAAGATCAACAACTTAATGCCGTTGAAAGATATGTTGAATTGGCATCAAGTTTATGTATGAGAGAATGGCGAAGACTACCTCATATTGTTAGTCATATTCATTTACCTCTTCTTCAAGCAGCCCAACAAATTATGGAGCTTCAAGAAGCCATGCAAATTAATCAAGGATTACTTCATGGTAGATCTTCATCATTACATGACATGAAAGCTATCGTTAAAACCTGGAGAAATAGATTACCCGTAATTGCTGATGATTTAAGTCATTGGTCAGATATTTTCACATGGAGACAACATCACTATACATTTATATCTAGCCATTATGATTCTCAACAAGATCAATCAACGAATCATTCGATGTTAGGTGTACATGCTTCTGCCCAAGCAATTATTCATTTTGGAAAAATAGCACGAAAACATAATTTAACTGGAGTCTGTTTAGATTCTTTATCAAGAATTTATACTATTCCAAGTGTTCCTATTGTCGATTGTTTCCAGAAGATTCGGCAGCAAGTTAAATGTTATCTTCAAATGGCTTCAGTAACTGGTAATAATGAGTTGCAAGAAGGTTTAGAAGTGATTGAATCAACAAATCTCAAATATTTCACTAAAGAGATGACTGCAGAATTTTATGCATTGAAAGGAATGTTGCTTTCACAAATTGGAAGATCTGATGACGCTAATAAAGCTTTTTCAGCAGCTGTTCAACTTCATGATACTCTGGTTAAAGCCTGGGCGCTTTGGGGAGATTATTTGGAGCAAATTTTTACAAGAGATTCACGACAAATTTCTATTGGTGTATCAGCGATTACTTGTTTTTTGCATGCTTGTAGACATCAGAATGAGTCTAAATCAAGAAAATATCTTGCTAAAGTACTTTGGCTTTTAACTTATGATGATGAAAAATCTTCTTTAATGGAAGCTGTTGATAAATATGCTGTCGGCGTTCCTCCAATACAATGGTTACCATGGATTCCTCAGCTTTTGATGTGTCTAGTTCGTCATGAAGGAAATGTCATTCTCAATCTTTTGTCTCAAGTTGGTCGTATGTTCCCACAAGCTGTATACTTCTCAATACGAACACTTTATTTGACATTAAAAATTGAACAGAGAGAAAGGTACAAAAGTGCTGAAATTGCTGCTGGAAAGAATGTTTCTGATGATAGTGAAAGCAAATCTGGTAATGCTGCAAGTGGAGTTCAACAGCAGATGGCTTCTAATATTACCAATACATCATCGTCATCGACTGCTGCAGCTGCACCTGAAACTGGACCTATAAGAGCAACACCACCTATGTGGAGATGTTCGAAAATTATGCATATGCAAAGAGATATTCATCCAACTATTCTATCGTCTCTTGAAGGAATTGTTGACCAAATGGTTTGGTTCCGCGAGACTTGGTATGAAGAAGTTTTAAGACAACTTAGACAAGGTTTAGCGAAATGTTATGCGATAGCATTCGAAAATCGTGGTGCTGTTTCCGAAGCAACGATTACTCCTCATACATTAAATTTTGTTAAAAAATTAGTATCTACTTTTGGTATTGGAATAGAAAATATATCATCATCACAGAATGTAAACAATACTTTTGGATCAGCAGCTTCAGAATCATTAGCTAGAAGAGCTCAAGCAACCGTCCAAGACCCTGTTTTCCAAAAAATGAAAGGACAGTTTACTTCAGACTTTGATTTTACAGTACCAGGTGCTAAATTGTTACATAATTTAATAAGTAAATTAAAGAAATGGATAAAAATTTTAGAAGGAAAAACTAAACAGTTACCTAAATCATTCCTTATTGAAGAAAAGTGTAGATTTTTGAGCAATTTTAGCTTAAAAACTGCAGAAGTTGAATTACCTGGTGAATTTCTTTTACCCAAACATTCACACTATTACGTTAGAATAGCAAGATTTATGCCACGAGTAGAGGTAGTCCAGAGACATAACACAGCAGCTAGAAGACTGAGAATTCGTGGACATAATGGTCGACTTTATCCATATTTAGTGGTAAATGATGCTGGTTTGGGTGATGCTAGACGTGAAGAACGAGTTCTTCAACTTCTTCGAATGCTCAATTACTACTTAGCGAAGCAAAAAGAAACTTCTCGAAGATTCTTACATTTTACTGTACCTCGAGTAGTAGCTGTTTCCCCACAAATGCGACTGGTTGAAGATAATCCAGCTTCAATATCACTTTTGGATATCTACAAACTTGGATGTGCTAAGTTGGGAATGGAACATGATGCTCCTATTGCTCGTTACTATGAAAAATTAGCAGCTATGCAAGCGAGAGGTGGACAACCGAGTCATCAATGTCTCAGAGATATTTTGAAAGAAGTTCAAACAACGATGGTTCCAAAAACATTGCTGAAAGATTGGGCGGTTAAAACTTTCCCTGTTGCTACGGATTATTGGACGTTTAGAAAAATGTTTACTCTTCAATTATCTCTCGCATGCTTCTGCGAATACGTTCTTCATTTAACAAGACTTAATCCAGATATGATGTACATTCATCAAGACTCCGGACTTGTTAATATTGCATATTTCAAGTTTGATGTTGATGATACTTCTGGAGAATTAGATGCCAACAGACCAGTACCTTTTAGACTTACTCCAAATATTATTGAATTTATTACGAGCACAGGTAATTTATTTGAATTTTTCCATATGTATAACAATTGCTAAATCATTAAATACATTGAAACTAAATTAAATGTATTTGTTTCAGGAGTTTCGGGACCTCTAACAGCATCAGCAATAGCAACAGCGCGATGTTTAGTTCATCCATCCTTCAAAGTTCATACAATTTTACGAGCTATATTGGGTGATGAAGTAATAGCTGATCATAACAGGAAGCAAGAAGATTCTGAAAATGCTTCTCAATCACCTTCAGATATGAAAGGAGAATTATTGATAACTATGGTTACTCGAGCAGTGACAGCAATTATGAATAGACTTAATTCTCTAGCTAATTTTGAAGGAACTGACAGTAAAATGAGTACTCTTGTTGCTGCAGCTAATAGTCATGATAACTTATGTCGTATGGATCCCTCATGGCATCCGTGGTTGTAAATTTATATAAACTTTTTATTCAAAAAAAATTTTTCTATCGAATGATTTTTTAAAATCTTTGATAGTTATTATTATTCACAAGCTTAAAAATGGAATGTATGAAAAATCTAAAACATTTCTTTTTTTCGTATAGTACATAAGTATTTATATTAATTAAAATAATTAACATACAATGTATAATAATATTTTTTTTACCAGAATTTATTAAAATATATTTGTAAACAATTGGATGATTAGATATTTAAAGAAAATACCGTAATTTCGTAATATCAAATTTTTTTTGTAAATACCTATTTAAAATTGCATTTTCTTTAAAATTTGCGAAATTACATACCTTTATAAGATTAATTAAAGACAGAAAATGTAAAATAAAATCAACGAAAATGAATGACTAATTATTTGTTATAATTATTAATGGATATTTTTTACATAAAATACTATTATATAAGATTATGATATAAAAATAACATCTTTGAGGTAAATATCTGCTGATAAACTGTTTAACAAAAATAAATAATAATTTAAATCAATTAATTAATTGATGTTTATCAATTAATAAATCGATCCTTCATGTACTTTAAGTTAATGATAGCTATTAATAGTAGTGGAAGTAGATCTTTTCAAATGTATTTTCTTTTTATAAATGGTTTTTAGAATCAATTAACTTTATGATTCCATGTAAGGATATTTGTATTCTGTGATTGGCACAAAGGTTTCTTTAATAGATTGTGGTGAAGACCATTTCAATACATAATGAGGTCCGCCAGCCTTATCATTTGTTCCGGACATTCTACCACCACCGAATGGTTGTTGGCCAACAACTGATCCGGTAGATTTATCATTAATATAAAAATTACCAGCAGTGTATTTAAATTCTTTCAACGCTTCTTTTGCCCAATTTAGATCTTGGGCGAAAATTGCTCCAGTTAAAGCATATGGAGTGGAAGACTCGACAAGTTTCATTGTTTCGTTTAATTTATTGTCTTTATAAATAAATATTGTCAAAACCGGTCCAAAAATTTCTTCTTTCATTATTTTATCATTTGGATCAGACGTTGTGATGATTGTTGGTTGAATGAAAAATCCTTGAGATTTATCATAAGTTCCTCCACCAATAATTTCCAAATTTGGTGATGATTTTGCATGTTCAATGTACCCAACAATACGATGATAAGCTGCTTCATCTATTACTGAACTAGTAAATATTGAAAAATCTTGAACATCACCAATTTTTAATTCATTACGAATCGATAGTAAATCTTGTTTAATTTTTGGCCACAATGATTCCGGAACATACATTCGACTACAAGCTGAACATTTTTGCCCACTGTACTCGAAAGAGCTTTTGATTGTTGCATTAACAACTGTAGTAACATCTGCACTTGGATGCACGAAATGGTAGTTTTTTCCACCACATTCACCTACCATTTTTGGATAATTTTTATAACTTGAAAGATTATTTCCTACTTGACTCCAAAGATGATTGAAAGTTTTGACTGATCCAGTAAAATTAATTCCTGAGAGGAAGGGGGATTGAGTAATTGTATTGCCAAAATCAGGTCCATGCGAAGGTACAAAATTTACTACGCCCGGAGGAACTCCAGCTTCACGACAAATTTTAAAGATGGTCCAATTAGAAAGAATTGCTGTATCTGAAGGTTTCCACAAAACTGCATTACCCTATAAAACAGCAATTATGAAAATTTATTTCGCTAAAATTTTTTTTTGTTTATAAATAGTAATTTAAATTACCATAAGTGCTGGAGTGTAACTTAAATTCCCTCCTATTGCAGTAAAATTGAATGGGGATATAGCAGCAATAAAACCATCTAAACCTCGATACCTCATTGAATTACGTGAAATTTTCAATTCAGGAGAAATAGGCTGGTATTTCAGTACCTCTGATAGAAAATAACAATTGAGTTTAAAGAAATCGATTAACTCAGCAGCACTATCAATCTCTGCTTGGATAACACTCTTTGCTTGGCCTAACATAGTTGTTGCATTGAGATCTTGACGATATTTATTTGCCATTAAATCAGCAGCTTTCATCCATATTTCAATTCTTTTTTCAAATGGAACATTTTCCCAGTCACGTTGAGTTTTTACTGCAACTTCAATTGCTTTCTTTATCAAATCTGGATTTGCATAATAATATTTTGCTATCTTTTTTTTATGATTGTGAGGCTGAAATGCAAATAAGAATCTTTATTTATTGTAAATTGATAAAAGAACTCTTCATATTATTTTGAATTTTTCAAGTCTTTCTTGAATTTGCAATTTTTTTCTCAATATCTTATCGAAATAAGAAGCTATCAGCACATATTGATTTTGGATAAGAGATTATCAAACTGCTTTCTCTATTAAACTTTAATATTCTGATAAAAAGCTACTCACCATACATTGATACTTGACAACATCAGTCCGAAATTCTTGGTCGCCGATGACGATTGGTACATCTTGACATTCATTTGAATATTTGTTTAAAACATTTTCCAAGTTCTTACGTTCGTGGCTATTTTTGTTATATGATAAAAGTGGTTCATTTTCTAATGGAATATCAGGAATACTGGGCAGTGAAACAACTGATTCTAACCAACGAACTCCAATTCTGAGTGGAAAAGACGAATAATTAATTTTCATAAGAAATAATTGAATAAGTTAAAGGAGCTACTAGTGAAAAGATATAAATTATTGTTTACCAATCGCTAATTAAAAAAGAAAGATAATCAAAATAATTGAAGTATGTCAAATAAAAATATTAGTTTGATTATTATATATCTAGTTAATAGCAATAATTAATAATAATTTTTGTAAAAATTTCAGTTTATTGTAAATACCGGTAACCAAAAAAACTATCTTTCTAAAATGTGTACAATTATTGAAAAGGTTAGCTTGACTCAAGTAATAATTATTTTTATAAAATAAATAAGAAAAAAATTATTAATACTAGCATAAAATAATATATTAACAAAAATGTTTTTATATCATCAAACAAAACTAACCTCACTATAGAACTAATATCATCAAAAAATTAATTTAATTAATATTAAAATTAACATAGATATTTTAATGTCGGTTATTTAAATACATAATCAATTAATATAAATTATATAATGTTTATAACTTACTTTGGAATTGTAATATTAAGTGATTGACGACAAAAATGAAACATTTTTCTAGTTGTAATATATAAAAACGTTCTCTATTAAATAAATTTACTATTTAAATGATCTTATACTAAAATGTATACTAAAAAATTCAGTTGGAACACGCTCATTAATTCAAATGAACGAGTAAAAAATACTCTCTCCAGTTTACAAATTTATAAATAAACTCAAAGACAACGCAAATTTTTTTTTACTCAATCCTTTACCGGCTATTACCGTTATTTACTTTCCAATATTCTTACAGTATTTTCGATATGTATGAAACTTTTTAGACGAATTAAAATTCTAAATTTCCAGTTAAAATTATATGTTAATTATAACAAATAATTACAAGCAACGTAAATGATAATATTATTTATTTAAACTATGATCTCATCAAGATAAAAAGATTTAAATGATAATTTTTTTATTATTAAAATAGAATTGCGACAATGTTAATATACTTTATTGTACATAGTGGGGAATTATTTGACACTGGTAAATACCATGTTTATTTGGGTCTGTTTTAAAAGTCTCAAGGTTGTTCATTATTTACCAGTCGCATTTGCTACAATTCAATGAAATTGAGAATGTATTCTAACTGATGTATTACGAATTATTTAAATTGATTAACAGACTTGAAAAAATATTTTGAAGAAATAAAAAAAAAAACTTTTTGTTACTAATTTTTATCTTTTATTGACCATCAATTGATTTTTCATCAATTTCAAGATGAAAAATTTTATTGGAGTATTATTCGTTATTGTCACTCTACATTTTCTCTATTACTAACTTTATGTAAAAAAAGTTGAGATTTTTGAAACAACGTGACTTAACTCTGACATAATTATAAGAAAAGATCATCCTTATTTAATTCTTAATTTGTAAATAATTTTATAAATTAAAATATTTGAACAATTGTCTTATATTATTGTAATGAATTTATTCCACTTAATTAATTCTCTTCTTGTTGCATTTGAAGTTCTCTAAGCAATTGAGCTCTCTGTTTTTCTAACTCATCTTCTGAAAGATCATTTTGTTCTTTATTTCCATTAGAACTTTCACTATATCCTGAAGTTCTCCGATGTTTTTCTTCTTTTCTTTTAGTTTCTGGAGATTCTTCAGAAGAAGGAAGACGGGAATGTGACCTGGAATGACTTCTACCACGCTTTTTCTTTGTTTTCCGTCTTCTAGACTTTTTACTTTCTGATTCTGAACTTTCTGATTTACTTTGAATACTCAATGATCTTGACTTCATTCGTTTTTTCTTTGCAACACCTTTTTCACTTGCTTCAGATTCACTCGGAGATCTGGATCGTGATTTTCTCTTTAATTTTTTCATTTTCTTCTTCTTACTTCGAATATGATGATGACTACAACTTTCTTCTAACTCATGTTGATACTCTTTAAATATTCTTAAGCGTTCACTTTCAACTGTAATAGCTTTAAAATCTGCAGACTCTTCAATCTTCGGTCTAATGTCTTCCCAAGTAACTTGATAGTCAACATCGAAACTTTTTAATAAGTTTTTGAAAGCTAGTTCTAATTTTTTAAACTTTCTTGTTTCTTCCTTAACTCTTTCTTTTTCTCTCGCTTCTGCTTTCTCTAGTAACAGATTATAAGTTAATTTTACATTACCTGCATCCAGAGTTGCAGATTTTCGATCTTCACAAACTACAGTTGCGAATTCTTCAAAAGTTGTGTTAACTTGAACTTCAAAGTTTTTATCTTTTAAAATTTCTCTGATTATCTTCTTTTCATCATGAAATCGAGACTTGAGATCTTCAACATAAAACTTGAAAAGGTCTAAAGGGGTTGATCCGGGTTGTCCAAGCATTGTGGAAAATCGTAAATCAGCCGAAAGCATCGGATAAAGTTCTACCCATAGAGACATTGATGTTAATTTACCCTGTTCATGTAATTCATCAAGCAAACTTATAAATCCATCCCGATTTTTTCTTTCTAATCGCTTTCTTCTTTTTTTCTCTCTTTCTTTTTCCTCTTCTTCATCTTTTTCAAGCTGTCTTATATGATTCTCAAAAACCAAAAGAGCATCTTCTTTATCCATTTCTAATAAATGTGCATCTTCAGCAAATGTTGAATGTTGAAGAAGCAATGCCTGAGCTTCCTGCCATGTTGTTCTATATGTTACATCAGTCATTGTATCTAAAACTTGAGCTAATTTTTTGGTATTTCTCTTTTTCAATTGTTTAGCTTCTTCTTTTTCTCTTTTAGCAAGATTAAACACAACATCTTCATAAATATCTCGTCTATCAGAATCCCCAACTGCTTTCCAAATATCTAAATTACCGAAAAGCTCTTCACATTTATAGTATTTAACAGTACTAGCCATTTTCTCACTTTCTAACAAAAATTGTTCCAGGTCTTCCTTAGCTTTTTTCAGTCTTAGTCGTTCGGCCTCCCTCTCTTCTTTAAGCTTTTGAGTTTTATATGCATTGAAAGCTTGCTTTCTTTCATTCAATTTTTTCATTTGCGGATATCTTGGATCATTTTGAATCATTTTAACTGCTTGTTCCCACGTAGCATTCGACGGAACATCACGTTCTTTTAATAATTCTTTGAAAGCTTCAATAGCTTCTTTTTTATCTTTAAACTGCATTTTAGGTTCAGGCGTACTTGTTCTGCTGCCATTAGCTGATCCTTTAGCTGAATTACTATCTTCATCTGGTTTCGCTGGTGGTGTTGGTATATTTATTGCTGCGAGCGTTGCTGCCATTGCTTGCTCTATTGCAGATTTACCACTACTTATTTCTGACGGGGTAGTTTTAGCTGTTGCATTGATATGAGTTGTTAATAACGATGAAGATGAGGATGATGATGATGTAGTGGATGATGATGTTGATGTTATTCCTACAATATTTAATTTATTTACAACAATTTATTTTCTACTATGAATTAATGGATGTGATGAAAAAATAATAACAACTTCTGTCACACATCTGTTACTAAAAAAATTAAACAGTATTTTGATTTCAAATAAAATCATATTTATAACTATTTTATGTAACAAATGTGATTCAGATTATATGATAAACTTAAAAAAATTTATGCAAATTTGATCAAATAAAAAATTACCTGAAGTTATAGTGTTAGCGGCCGAAACAGCTGCTGCTTCTTCAGCAATAATCCTATTTTTTAACTCTTCTAATTCAGGGGGAATTGTCCATCTAGATTCTTTAGTTGATACATTATGATAATAAATTTTCCCATTTTCTGATTTGTACTCTTTCCATGGACATTGAGATAATAAAAGCTCACTTGGAGTTTTTAATTCGTCAGGTTTTTCCCATAAAGATTGCTTAGTTACTGAATTATAATAATAAGTTCTACCATCTGGAGCTTTATGTTCCGACCAATCGCATTTTTTATCAGCTGATTTAACACCATCATTCAGTACTGCAGGAGCTCCAGAAACTGGAGCTATGGTGGTAGCCATCGGGCCAGAAGTAATCGCAGGTGATCCTATTGCATCTCCAGGAATTACTGGAGTCATTGACGGAGATGCTACACTGGCAAGTGGTGCGCTTATTTGAGGTGGTGCGGCTATAATATTAAAATAACTTGATTTTGTGAACTGAAAGTATTGAGTAAAACTATGAATAATCAAAATAGTAATGATGAAGTTACCAATTACTCCAGGGTCTGCTGGAGGAGCTGTTGCAGCAATCGGAAAGCTAAATCCCGGAGGAGGAATTGAAAATTGTGGTGGCATAATGCCAGGTGGCCCAGAAGCTAGCCCAGGAGGTGGAATGAAAGGAGTAGCTGGAATCATTGGAGGTACAAATCCTGGAGTCATGTTAGGAGTTGCTGTAGGAAATCCTGGTACTCCTGGAGTTGGAATTCCATCATTCGATGCCTAAAAATTACAAGTTATTTAAGTAAAATAATTAAAATAATTTTCTATATTCTTATTTGCAATTAATACTTTTAATTATACATAACATAAAAAATTCTTTTAATTTTTGTAATTCATAATATTTTCAAATAGCGAATTCGTCTTGTATTGACTTACCATTTTGATAATTTATTATGTAATAATGTCAAAACATGAGAAAATTTTTTTATGCTTCAAAATTTGAATAGGCATACGATACACCTCAATTAAACTATCAATTACCAAATTTTTCAATTGGTATTCAACTTTATTTGATAAGAATTTCAATATTTACTAAGAAAAAATGTAACTTTGAGGTTAAGTTCATAAATATTTCAGCGTCGGCGCATGGATGGTGTCGATAAGAGTAAAGTTTAATTTTACCAACAATAAATAAATTAATCAAAACCAACTGTCGATAAAAATGATGTCATTTTTGGTTTTAAGTGTTTTTCAGATGATCAAATAGTTTTGTCATGTTTGTCGTGTCATCACACACGTAAAGTTAAAAGTGTCTCATTTATTATAAAATTGTTTAATTATTCAATCACTGTTCAGAATAACTTACAATTCAATGAAAAGTAACCGCAATAACAATTTTATACAGATTATAAAATAAACTATTTGTTAAATAAATTGACAGTATTGTTAAAAAAAATATTAAAATGCAGACTGTTAGACATTATTACAGTGATTTCATTTCGTGATTGTTTGTCGTTTTTTATACACCTTATCTAAGTTATTTAAGTGATAATTACACAAAATAATTAATTAAAAATTAATAGAGTTAAAACTAATTGAAAAGTTATCTTAGTTTGCTTAGAGCCATCACTCAAAGAACTAATAAAAAACATTCTTATTTGATAATACAAAATAAACCGAGGAATAATTACAAAATGTTTAAAAAATTTAAAGATAAACTTGCTGAAGAGATGAAACAATCACCAGCAAGAATTCAAGCAAGCATGCAGCAATTAGCACAGGTATTTATACTTTATTTAAACAAAAGCCTGTTAACGGTTTAGGTTATTACATTTTCATAACAATCAATAGAAAGTGAGAAACAATATTTGAAAATAGTTCTATTTATTATATATTTTTGTAATATTATTTTTCTATAGGCAGTTGTCTCTCCGAATATTTCGAATGCATCCAGTTCTGGTTTATCAGCATCAAATGACAACTTTAGCCTTACAGATGAAGGAGATGGTAATAAAATTATACAGTAATCTATAAAATAATTTAAACATGAATTAATTCATTTTTTTTATTATAGAAACAGCAAAGAACAGCCCAGCTAAAGATTACTTTCCAAGCATCGATTTAACCTCACTCTCTTCAAATACAACTGGAATTTCCAGATCGTCTTCAATTAATAGTTTAGCTAGTGGTGATACTTCAGGATTATTTCCTATTTTTGAAAGTTCTGGAAATGCTTATCATTTTCCGGTATGTCATTTTTTTTAAAGTTTTACATTAATAGTTATTATCCATTTATATCTGGAATATTAATGGCTTTATTTATCATTAATTTTAGTCAGACATAGAACAATCGGCGAGTGAAACTGATGAATGTATGAACCGACAAATGGATCAACTATCAAAGGAAGAAATATATTCAGCGTACCGTAAAATTCAAACAAAGTATTGTAAATATAGGGGAAAATACAGAGAGTTGGCAAACCATTATCGAGAAATTGAGAGGGTGAAGATGAAATTGGAGTCTTTGCTTGTTGAGACACAAAATAAAGCTTTGAGAAGAATTGGAAATTTGAAAGAACAGTGCCAGTTAGAACAGCAAGCGAAAGCTCATCTTGAAGAAGCTTTAAGGAATGACATTGAAGAAAAAGATCATATAATTGATTCGTTAAACACTAAAGCAAGTAACAAATTATTTATTAAAGTAATGTATAATTATACTTTATAGAAAACGTAGTTATTAAAGAATTACAGTATATTCTTAGAATTGTTCTGCTATTGAATTTGCAATAAACGATAGTATTTAGATTTAATATTTCATCCATTTTATAGGTAAAACTTCTTCATGCGAATGGAGCAAACGCAAAACTAGAAAACCAATTAAATTCTGCTGAGAACAAACTCGAAAGCGCAAGAAACTCTTCTCAAGATTTAATTAAAATTTCCGGTGAGGAAATGGAAGACATTTCGCTAAAATTGAATCAAGCAGATTCTGAATTATCAACAGAAAACCATCAATTGAAAAATAAACTCGAAAAGCTCGAAATTTTGATTTCAAAATACAAAGAATCGTTGAAACGAAGTAAAGAAAAAATAGAAGAAATGGAAGAAGAAAAATACAAAGTTGAGCGAGAGTTGGAAATGTCGAAGAGCTTAAATGAGGAAAAATTAGATGAATTGAAAAAGGATCTAAATAAAGCAAAGGAAAAAATTGATTATTTAAACGAAGAAATAAATGAATTGCGTAAAAGAGAGGAGGAATCTGTGATTTCACTGGCAGAAAATAAATTCAAAATTCACAAAGAACTTGAAATCAAGGAAGAACAAATCAAACAATTAACTATGCAACTTAAACAGGCAATGCAAAATAAAGAAAAGAATAATGTTGATGAGAAAAGTCACGACAATAATGAAATAACTAGAGATGATTCAGGAGAAGTAATGAATGAAAATTTAATTGACATTGATTCGGATACAGAACAGAAAGTTGTGTTGGAGAATAAAGAAAACAAAATTAGTGAATTAAACAAACTGATTGATGAAAATGAACAACAAAATCATGAGATTTCAAGATTAAAGAAAGAATTAAATGAATCATATGAAAGAATAAATGATTTAACTGACAAGTTAAGAGATAGTGGATTACTTTTGAATGATTTAAAAAATGAGACACAAAGAAGAAATACAATTTTTGCTGAAAAAGCAGTACAATCAATGATGATGATGCAATCAATGAAAAAAATTTGTGAAGAAGTGAAACTGACGATTAAAAATAATCATGATAGCGTTAAAAATTATATAACTGATGAATTAAAAAGTAAAGTGCAAGAATGGGCATATAATGTAGAATTGTCACAGAAAAATCATGAATCCCAAGAAAAATTAAATGAGTTAATGAGTATAATTATTGTAAAAAATGATTTTATTGATAAATTAAAGCTTTCAAAAAAGGAACAAAATTATATAAATGAACAACTACGAGAAAAGAACCAAGAATTAGAAATGAAAGTTGAATGTTTGCTAAAGAATAATGTTGAACAGAAAAAAGTAGAAGAATTAATGGATATTATTGTTACAAAGAATGATTATATTAATAAATTAAAATGTATGAAAGAAAACCTATTATTAAAAAATAAAATACTTACAAAAAATGATGACTATTTATCAGATTTAATTAATGTAAAAAATGAATTTATTACTAAGTTGAAGCTTGTAAATAAAGAAATGAAATGTAAAATAGAAGTGATGGAAGAAGAGAATCGAAAATTACAATCAGAAAATGAAGCTTTAGGAAATAATGAAAATTTGAAAGATAAATTAGACGCTATGATGGACATAATCCGTGTAAAAAATGACTTTATAGATAAACTAAAAGTTGTACAAAAGGATAAAAATAATCTCATTGAAGAACTAAAACAAAAAAATGCCGATTTTCTTACCGAACTAGAAACATTTAAAAAAAGCAATGGTTCAGTTGAAATATTAGAAATTGAACATAAAGAACTACAAGATGCAAAAAATAAATTATTAATATTAAATGAAGATCTTCAAAAAGCTAATGAATTTTCACAACAAAGAATTAAAGAGCTTGAAGAGCATCTTGAGAAAAATACTGTGGAAACTCGTGAAACCACGGATCTCAATAATAAATTATTAAAAGTAAATGAAGATCTTCAAAAAGCTAATGAATTTTTACAACAAAGAATTAAAGAGCTTGAAGGGCATCTTGAAAAAAATACTGTGGAAACCCGTGAAACCACGAATCTCAATAATAAATTAGTAAAAGTAAATGAAGATCTTCAAAAAGCTAATGAATTTTCACAACAAAGAATTAAAGAGCTCGAAGAGCATCTTGAGAAAAATACTGTGGAAACCCGTGAAACCACGGATCTCAATAATAAATTAGTAAAATTAAATGAAGATCTTCAAAAAGCTAATGAATTTTCACAACAAAGAATTAAAGAGCTCGAAGAGCATCTTGAGAAAAATACTGTGGAAACCCGTGAAACCACGGATCTCAATAATAAATTAGTAAAATTAAATGAAGATCTTCAAAAAGCTAATGAATTTTCACAACAAAAAATTAAAGAGCTCGGAGAGGATCTTGAGAAAAATACTGGGGAAGCACGTGAAACTATGGATCTCAATAATAAATTATTGAAAGTAAATGAAGACCTTCAAAAAGCTAATGAATTTTCACAACAAAGAATTAAAGAGCTTGAAGAACTCATAAAAAAACACACGATAGAAATAATTGATAAAAACACAGAAATTGAAGGTATAACTAATGTAACTGAAGCTTATAAAAACCAAATACGAGATTTAGAAGAGAAAATGAACGAATTGAAAAAAGAAATAAATGAAGAAAAAAGAAAAAATGAAGAACTTGATGAAATAAATAAATCAAATAAAGACTTTAAAACGTATGAAGAGGAGACAGAGAATTTGAGAGGGACAGTAGAAAAATTACAAAAGCAGCTAAAAGAAGCAGAATCAACTGTTATTAGTTGTCAATCAAAAGAATCACAAATTGAAAACATAAATGAATCGTTACGAAATGAAATAGATGCATTAAAAAAACAATTAGAAACGATTGAAGAAGTGCAGAGAGAGAGAATGAATCAGTTAGTAAAAGAATTTCAAGCTCAAATTAATGATAAAGATCAGGAACTTCAGGCAGCTCTTGATAAAAAATTTGGTAAGTTACGTGGTTATATATATTTATTAATTTAAAAATAATTTTTTTATAAGAGTATTGTATTTTAGAACGTCAAAAAAATTATGAATCAGATTTAATTCAACAGTACAAAGAACAACTTCGAGATTTTCAAGTTGAATTAACTGCTAAGTCTGAAGAAATAGAAAGTTTAAAGAAAGATCAAGGGAAAGAAAATACAGAGGAATTGACTAAACTAACAGAATTAGTTACGAGAATGAAAACAGAGCATGAGAATGAATTGAAACAAATTGAAACAAGGTGGGAAGATATGGTAAAAGATAAAACTAATGAAATTAATGATTTAAAAAAAGAACGGGAGAAGTGCAAAAGAGTGAGTAATTGTATAATTAATTTCTATGTGTTACTTCTGTCTAAGTCTTTACAGTTTAATCAATTTTTCATTATTTTATAATAGGAATTAGAAAATAAATCTGTGGACTCTTTAAAAAATACTTTGACATCTCAGCAACGGGAGTTAACTGAGTTGCGAAAGCTTATCAAATTAAGACATGATACTCTGGAAGATTCAACAGAAATTGAATATCTTAGAAATATTTTGTATGAATACATGATGGGTAAAGAGACTTTGGTACTGGCTAAAGTCATTGCAGCAGTTGTAAAATTTGATCAGGAACAAACTACTAGAGTACTTAAAAAGGAAGAAGACAAATTAACGCTGGTAAATATATTAAATATTTAATATATAATTAATATTATTATTATAAATAAATGGAAAAGAAAGAATAGAATTTAATAAATATTTTGATTATTTGTAGCTTGGATCTCTGGGATTAACGTAAAAGTATCGTAAACTGTTTATAAGTAAGCATAGACAGTTATAAATTGGAATTAATAATTTATTAATAATTTATACATATAATTAGTTATAATAATTATTAATGTTAATACTACCACTATCATTGCTACATTTGTAAAATAGAGTACAGTGGAAAGAAGTGTTTGATAGCATAAATATAAATAACTGCCAATAAAATTTTATCACTTCAGTTAGTTTGATGGATGATTTCTATAATAAATAAGTATTATTCCTCTATTACATTGCATCAAATATTATTTTTTATAATTAGAAAATTTGCATATCTGTACATTCAATTTAATCTTCATAAATGTTATAATTTTGAAAATGATAATAGGTTGCTATTAAAAAATTTTAATAATTTTTCTGTTAAATAAAATGTTTTTTATATTTTATCCATGACGTTATCGCTCACTAAGAAGCTTTTTTAAAATTAATAAATGGAAAGATAACAGTTATTTATCTCAGTAAAAGTAATAATGGTCATAAAATTTTATGACAAAGTTCAAAACTTAGATATTCTGTATGTAAATATTTGAATATTATAAATGCTAGTAAATATTACTTAATTTAAACTATTGGAAAAAAATATTCCAACAAGAAATTCAAAATTTGACTTCAAATTGGAGGTACTAATTTAATATTAAAAAAAGAAGAATCCTTAAATCTTGAACTTATTGAGCATATCATAAGAATAAATAATAATCACATACAAAATGTATTTCTAGAAATCATGTCAGAAACTACTCTCTTGATAGAAAAAATGAATAATAGAAGTACAAGAAACCGTAAATTAATGGAAATTTTTTTTTAATTATTTCGTATCATTTTCTAAATAAGTATCTGTTTATCTAAAAAATGATATTTAAATACGTAGTAATACGGGACTTTTCATTATCTACATTTAAAAAAGCTGTTCAAATAATATCTACTCAAAATGCGCATCTTTATGATAAAGTCGAAAAACATTTTAAAGTAGTAATAACTATTTAACTAAATAATATCCTAATAAAAATTTAATTAATCCAGCTGATTCAATAATATCTCTTAACTCAGATGACGGAATGTTCAAACAGATCAATTTTCATAATTACAAATAATAAAAATTCCAACAATTCCTCTAGCTATTATAAATCAAATTTGATTAAATGAAATATTGGTGACACTTAAAAACGATACCTACGTAATATGAGAATTTTTTATTTGTCATACAATTGATACAAACTACTACTGATAAGTACTATGATTTCATTAATATCATAATAAATATTATCGATCACGAATTTTTAAGAATACGTAATAATACAACGATTCTTCGTGTATTTAACTTATTGTAGTAACGTTAAAATATTAGATTCTTTTCTTGAAAATAATTTTTTGTTAAAAAATATTCTCTATTTTAATTTTTTTCAATTAAGAGCAATGATTAAATCATCTAAATTTTTCTTATTTTATTTTTTGAGTTTATTTGTGGGCTCTTTATCCATTGTAGACCCTCAAATTGTAGAAGAAAATAGAAATAAATATCCATGGATGGTGATAATATATAGTGTTTCAAAGCGTAAGTATAGTTATGATCTTGATTAAAAAACATTTCTACAATATTATAAAATAGTTACAGGCATTATTAACTATGGAACAATTATTCATGAGAGAGCTGTATTAACTCTAGCTAATCCTATGGTTAAAAAGTAAATATATTTGTAAAATAAAACTTTTTCATTTAAAATAATTATGTAGTGAAAGATTTTAATTACATGTTACATTTCAGATTTGGAAAATTTAAGTTTCAAGTTTTGCCTGATTGTTACATCAATGAAACTCATTCTTTTACAATTGGAACCAAAAAAATACCACTAGGATTACAGCAAATTAAAGAATATCATCTAATAGAATATGGTTCTCCTGGAAACTTAGAAATCCTTATTTTAAAAGAACCATTACATCTTAGTAATACAATCAATATTATCTCATTATACGGTGAAAATGATCAATTTGACCCAGATAACTGTATTCTTTTGAGTTTATTTAGTGATTTCACTATTGATTCTTCAGCATTAATTGTAAACGAAGGTATATAACACATGTATTACACGGAAATAATTTTACTTATATTTAATAAAAAAATTCTCTCCGTGTATAATAAAATTTTGTTTATCTTATATTTCAATATTGTTTTAGTTATATTCTTCATTTCGTATGCTGTAAAACTCACCGATACACATCTAGATTTGGTGACATTACCTAATGATACAATGACACCGGTTAATGAACAAGGAAAAATAATACAACAAAATAAAGAAATATTTACGAAAGGACTTGTACGTAAACTTATACTTTTAGATATAAAACATAGTATTATTGAAGACATAAAAATTTTTTTCTAACAGAAATTAGTAGGAGGTCCTTTATACTGCAAATCAAAAGATACTGAACAATGGAGTCAACTCGGAGTAACGAATTTGGTAATAAAAATACAAAAAAAAGATGATCCAAAATTAATCATAGAAGGAAATATTATCAGAGTCGATAATAACACCCTACATACTGTTATGGACCAAATTTTAAAAACATCCGACATAGGTGATTTTCAATTGAATGATGGTATATCAAGATATTGAACAAATTAATTTATTTAATTTACAATAAAATTGGAGTAATTAAATAAATACTTGTATGATGTCACTGTATTTTTGAATAATTATATAATTAAAATGAGATATACATACTTTGAATTACAGTAGGTAATACACGGTGACATGTATTTTGAATGAATTAGTAAAAATGTAAAACATTTTTATATTCCTGATAAACTAATCAAAAATAAACTATTCAATAATAATTTGTATAAAGGCTAAATTTTTAAAGAAAAACAAAGAAACACTATAAAAAAAATTCCTCCTATTGCCATCATTTACTTTAATATTTTATGAAAAAAACAAACGGCAAAATTGTGGAAAAAATTATTTATTACTCATACATATCGTAAACTAACAAAAAATTACGTAACAATCCGAAATAATTGTTAATAAATTTCATTTTTACAATGAAAGTAAAATTATTTACAGTGATTTGTTGAAACCAAGAAAATTTTATGCTATTGCTAGTTCAGCTTCAGTATCACTTACGTTTCCTGTTTCATGATCTTTTAATGCCTGTTCAAAGAATTGTTTCCTACTAGTATTAGGAATATGTTTTTCTCTAAATGTAATAGTATCATTTCCACCTTTTGTGTATGTTTTTGCTCCATTCGATCCTCCTAATTCTCGTAATGCAATATTTCTTTGAATAACTTTACTGTAAAACTCAAGACCTCCTTTTGTATATTCAATTCCTAATTTAGATGCTCGTTCATCTGCATCATATTCATAATACCTTGTCATCACATCTTTTTGCATTGCCCAAATTCCCCACATAAAAAGTCCTAATGCACCATATATGAAGTAACGGAGCTGTCGAGGTTTATCAAATAATTGCATACGTTCATTGATGGATGATGTTAATATATAATACGTGAAGAACAAAAAACAACTTATAAGTGGTTGAATTATTGCATTATGGTTATCAACCATGAAAATTTCTCTTGCAATGGCGAACTTTTTAGCATTTTCCGGTAAAATAAGAGCTTCAAGTAAACTGCGTGCCTCTTTACGGTTCCAATTAACAAACTCATCATTGATGATAATACCACTTTTATCGATTTCTCCAGGTTTCTTATAAGTATAATTAATTGGTAAGCCAATTTTAGCTCCACAATAACCATAAATTGATCCTGCATGCCAAACATCGTAACCATAAACCATAAACGGTTCCAGAAACTTTCTACTAAATGCGGGTACTTTTATATCATCTAGTACTTTGTCAAATGTATTTTTTAATTCAGCAGTCAGAGGGTATGGTTTTCCATTCCTGAAATATGTAAATTGTAATTAGTCAGGAAATAAATTAATATTGAATAACAAAGTTGAACTTACCTACGTAAACCAACAAAATCACGATAATGATTAAGTAAGAAAGTGTGAGGTAAATATTGAATGCTAAAAATTCCAAATGCAGTTCCAGTAGCTGCAATTTTCATGTAAAATTGACCCCTTGACGTAGTAAACCATGCTAACTTACCGAATGACATTATTAATTAATCTTATTATGTATATGAATGAAAAATATTTAAGTGAATAGTTGAATTTATGTTTATTAAGCCGGCTTTAGTGAGAATCTTTAATCTCGTGAATTACTTGGGCTTGTTTCTAACCTCAAATGTATCGTTTGAAAACAATTAATAACTGACATTTAGTTATTCTCTACACACATATATTTAATTTCTTTATTAAATAACATTGTTGATGAAAAATTACTAAAAAAGAATTATTTATTAATTTTACGTATATTTTAGTTTGTTTCATACATAAGACGACATACACACGCTACAGACTTAAACTCGCGCGGAAGTTTAAATATAAAAAATACATGTATTTATATTGCATGGTAACAATTATAATAAATAAAAATACTATGCTATTAAAATATTGATAATAAAAAACATATTTTAATAATAATTTATATTTTAATAGTTCAATTGTATATATTTTTTTTATTAAACTATGTACTTCTAATTTCTTGTGTGTGGAGCCCATTCATAGAAATCTTCTCTTGTCAGTCTTTTAATAGGTTCAGATTTATTTTTCTTGAAAACTTTTTTTTTAGATGATGATTTATATCCTTTTTGGATGTCAGTCATAGAGACATACTTCACTTTGTAACCGAAGCTTTTATCCATGTTATTTTCGACATCTTCATGCCTTTTACATGCGTGAATCCATTGTCCAGAATATTCATTTTCATTATCGCTGTCGTCATGATCATTCTTCGTATCGACTTCTCTTCTAGAATTTTCGTAATCATCATCGTAACTATTATTTATTTCTGGTTCATCCTTTATCTGAAATTCTTCGATGGTAATAGAATCTTCCTTCTCATTTGTAACTTCTTCATCTCTCAAATTAGGTTTAGATGATTTTTCTTCAGTTTTTTCATTTTTTTGTAGAATTAAACTCTTTTTTCTTTGATTTTTATTAAAATTATGCTCAGTTTCTTGATTATTTTCATCACTATCACTATCAAAACAATTCTGTTTTTCAAATGAAGTTGCAGTATTTTCTGGTTCCTGAGAATCTCCTAATAGAACATCCCAAAATGATTCTTTTGCAGCATTTGTATCATTTTGTTTTTTGCTAATATTGGCTTTTTCAACAATATCCAATTTTCTCTTTTTCAATTTTATCTCGTCAGGACTTTCTTCAGTCTTTTGCGTCTTTGGCACTATCTTATCAATCTTTTTTCTTTTTTTTGGGTTTTCTTCTATTTTTTCTTCTAAAGAGATGGATTTTTCGTATTTGCAATCTGAACTTGGCGTAGGACTAACCGTTTTGTTTGTAGATACTTTTTCATTAGGCTTTTGGCTCAAAAGGTTTTGAGTTTCAGGTACAGTTTCTGGAATGACAATATTTTTACTGCTTTTTGGTATCTCATCCCAATCTTGAGTCTCAGGAGCAAGTATTTTTGCTGTCGTAATCTTATTTAGTTTTTCTTTATCTTTTGACTGAAGTAATTTAGTATATTTAAACCTAGGATTACAGTGCTGGTCCAAAGAACAATATAATATAGCTAAAGGAATCTCAGATGCTGGAATAGATCTCAATTGATGTTTCTTTAAAAGTTCATTGACTGTTTGAAATTGAGATAATGACAATTTTGGACTTTGTGAATCACTTAGAGGTTGAATGAAAACAATGTCTTTGCGAGCACAATCAGATTTTTTTAAAGATTTATCACACATGGATGATGTTCCACCAGATAGTTTAATCATTGTAGAATAAATTTGAAATTGACATTCGTCAAAAAAATAAAATGTTAAACCATTAAATATTTGCTTTCTACGATGGTCTGGTAGTAATGCAGTCTTACCAAATCCTCTCAAAAGATTATCAAACGATGGAATGTATTTATTAACATCTGGAATGTCTTCGTTAGCTTCCTGCGCTTTTAAAACATCTTTCCAGTAAGTTAAATTGACAATAGGTATACCTGATGCTAAAGCACATGAAATTTTTTCAGTTAATCCTAATGAACAAGTTGTTAAATGAGTGCAATCATTTTGCCATTGATTGCAAAGTTCTCCTTCTATGGATGCAAGAATTTTTTCTAGATCTTTTTTATCTTTCTCAGTTAATCCTGAAGTTAATACAATGTATTTTTTTTCTGACTTGTAAGAAACAGTGAAAATATGATGTTGCAAGCCAAATCTTATTTGATCCTTAGGCGAAACGGAATAACTTGTTTCTTCAAGACGGTATTCCTTATTATTTTTTAATATATAAGTGCCATATTTTGATTTAGAATCAGCTATGATCAACTGTGTACTACCTATTGATGATTTTGATTTTGCAATTTGTTTTTTAACTTCTAGCTTTGCATGTGACCGGCTTATTGATGAATCTTCAGTCAATAGAATGTCAGCATTACTTCTACCAACAGTTGTTATTTTATTTTCACTTAATTCTATGGTTTTACCATTTTTATCAGTTAAAAACCACATGTTTTTACTATTTTTTAATCGTTCAAGACAAATCTAGTTACTACGTCTAAATACAAGATGTAAACAACACATTGTCGCGAAATATCTACGACGAAGATTTACGAACCGCTGTCGAAAATGCACGAAGCAATAGACAAGAAAAAGAGAAAGAGGAGAAGTATACTTACCTAACCTCTAACGGAATAAAATTTAAGTTGAAATGTACAATAATATTCAAAATTCTAGTAACCAACTGCAAGTAAATTTTTTTTCATTTTTTATCATGGTAATAAATTTTTTTATCTAAAGAGTGTTATTTAATTTGTTGATAAACTAATAACAATAATTAAAAACAGTAATGAGTTTATCATCATGAAAAATAAATTATAATCTATTTGATAATTATAAATTTAAATATCAAAATAAAATATTAAAAAATTTAATATAATTATTCGACCTTCGAATAAAAAATAAAGACTTATTAGTTTTATTTTCTTTATCAGTGTTATTTTATTACGTCAATCGTACATCTATTATATTTTTGTTTATTGAATCAGTGTGTGTTGCTGTGACATGATTCATTAAAAGGCTAAATTCAATTAAAAATGTTTGATCTTTTAATATAAGGGTAGATTTTGTCTACGTCAGGTGTAATAAGTTATGAAGATTTAAATTATAATGTGACGTGATTGGGTGCGTGTGTGTATGTGTGCGATGTCGAAGGGAAACTTAAAAGAATATAAGCATCATTTAGTTGAAAATAAGTCAAAACGTCAGCAAGAGGATCAAATAGTTCAGACGCAACAACAACATTTTGATAATTCATCACAACCTCCAGTACTATCACCAATATCTTCACCATCATCATCATCTTCTTCATCGTCTTCATTGTCAACAGCATCATCACCCCCTCCGCCACGACCATTACCTCGACAAAAAAGTCTTCAACAACAATTTGTTGAAGAAATCGACTACAATGAAATCGAAACAGAAGAGGTTTGTGTTTTTATTGTCTATTATTTCATTCATCAGGTGTAATTGAGAAAAATAATTCAGTTGACATAACCTTAAAAGAGTGTATCTTTGCTTTACATTGTTGAACTATGTTCATTTTTTTCAGTAAGATTGAGTCAGAAATATTTAAAAAAACTTTAGTATGAAAAAAAGATCATACTGAATTGAAACTTCAAGTTAATAATAAAACACTAAGTTATCCATTCCAAATCACAATACTCCAAATTAATAACTTAAATTATTGTTATTGTCAATAGAAAATAAATAAATGATTAACATTCGTTTTTATTTGTTAATCATTCATAAATACTAGTCACAAAAAGAAGAACTTTTAATTAGAATCAAAGAATAGTAATTAATATTTATTTTAGGTTGTGGGCAAAGGATCTTTCGGAGTTGTATGGAAAGGAGTATGGCGTGGACGTTACGTAGCAATAAAACACATAAATACCGAAGGAGAACGAAGGGCATTTGCAGTTGAAGTAAGGCAGTTATCTAGAGTATCACATCCAAATATTGTTCGGCTTTACGGTGCTTGTACAAAAGATCCAGTTTGTCTGGTAATGGAATATGCTGAAGGAGGATCTCTTTATAATGGTAATTTTCATATTATTTCACAATTAGATACATGGCTTAGAAGAATAACTACTAACATTATTTTTCTTTAAAAAATTTTCAGTTCTCCACTGTGAACCAAAACCACGGTATACTGCCGGCCATGCAATTAGTTGGGCTCTTCAATGTGCTCGAGGTGTAGCTTACCTTCACAATATGAAACCTAAACCGTTAATTCATAGGTACAAATAATTATTTGCAATAAAAAAAGTATATGATCGACCATTAACCAATATCTTAATTTATTTTCAGAGATTTGAAGCCACCAAATTTACTTTTAGTTCTTGGAGGAAGAACTTTAAAGATTTGTGATTTTGGAACAGCATGTGATTTAAACAGTTATATGACAAATAATAAGGGATCGGCAGCGTGGATGGCTCCAGAAGTATTTGAAGGTTCTAGATATACTGAAAAATGTGATGTTTTCAGTTGGGGAGTGATATTATGGGAAGTTCTAGCGAGAAGGAAACCATTTGACGACATTGGAGGCTCAGCTTATCGAATCATGTGGGCGGTACATGTTGGACAAAGACCACCATTGATTGAAGGTTGTCCCAAACCTATTGAAGATCTTATTAAAAGGTAATAATAAATTCCAAAAGTTCTATATATGTAAAGTTATCTGTTTTTATTACAATAGCATTAATTATTCCAGATGTTGGGAGAAAAATCCTGAAAAAAGACCAGCAATGGACGAAATTGTAGAAATAATGGATATCCTTTCAGAGTTTTTCACTGGAGATTTAGAACCTGTTGAATATACTCCTTCGGAAGAATTTCCGGACAATGAAGGAAGTAATGAAAATACAATTGATGTTACTTGGAATTCTAGTCAAATCAATGGCGATTTTTCAGCTAATGGTCTAGATAGTCAGTCACAAGTTGATTATCAAACCCAAACTTATAATCAAGAGCAGCTTGACCGTTTTAAACGCCCTGATTCTCTGCAAATAGCTCAAGGAAGTAATTCTGCTATGTCTAAACAATATTCTAATGCTTCTAGAAATCGTGTTAAAGATGAATGTGATGAAAGCAATAAAAGACGAATAGATACGTCTAAAATAAATTTACCACCAACTCCTGCAGTAAGAAATAATAAAGTAAATGATTCAAGTAATAATTTCCAACCTCTTCACATTGATTGTGATCCTGTAAGTATTGATTTAGAGAAACTATTTTGACATCTATATTAAATACTATTTTCTTTAAAAAATCAGATCAAAATTTTTGAGAGAAAAATGCAAGCTTTTCAGCAACTAATTATCAATGAATGTTTTTCTGATGTTAAAAATATGATTTGTTGAAATTTTTAGGACAAAAATATAACTTTAATTAATTCTCAATAATATATGTTTTTTAGAATGCTTGGGATCATGCTACATCATCAGATTCTTCTTGGGAGCTTCAAAACAATCCTGGCCTGGATAAAATGGGTCCTAAAAATAAGAAAATTGATCGTAAGTTATAATATGCTGTAATATTTATTATTACTTTTCTAATTGAAAAGCTATATCTATAAGAAAATGATCATCTATTTTACTAATGAGAATTAATTAATTAAATTGGCATAGTAAGTGGATTGTTAAAAATGGCCAATGCGTTAGAATTTGATTATCGCAGTCTAGTTGACGTAATTATTCTCCATCTCTTTTTATTTTTGCCAGTCCGCACGGACACTAAATTATTTCGAGCATGAAATACTTGAAAGAGCTGACTCAGAAGCTAAACAGCAGACCCCAGTTATACTATGCCAGCCAAAATCTTTATGATCTAATTCCCCTGGCCAAAAAGTTCAATTGAACCCAATGAATATGTTTTTCAAGGAATCAACTCCGTTTATATACTTAGAACAAAAAAAATTTCATTTGTTGAATTAAATTGTGATTATTTCATAAAATAACAAAAAAAGACTCAATTCAATTATTGAATGACTTGATGAAGTAAACATTTTAATTATTTAACAATTTTATACAATATTTATCGAGATTTTTATTATAAACTTAGTTTATATCTAAGAAATGTAATTGAAAAATCAAACGAATGTCACAAATTGATTTAAAAAATGTCTTCGACATGATTACGCAAAAATCGCTTGATTTTACTTTAAAAAAAAATTCGTTTTGATAAATAAACAAAATAAAAACGCGGAAGTCTGGCTCTTGTCGAGGTTGATGATAAAGAAAATAGGAGAGGAGTGAAGAGTTAAAAAGGGAGAAGAAGAAAAAGAGTTTGGTCCACGACAGCAGGTGTAGCTGAGTCAGCTTCCCCATTATAGCTGTAGGTTTGTTGTGTTTAGTTTGAGATTCAACTATCGCCAGTGAGGAGGCCAGTAGTTAAAGTTCATCTTTAGCTCAGTTCGTACCGTCACGAAACGATATAAAAATATCAAACAAAGCCTCAGACGCAAATTTTTAATTCGAAATCTTTTTGATATTGAAAAAATTCTAAATATATTAGAAAAGTAGAAATCATTAATGTATCTAGATATTGAAGTATTCAATTCAATAAATTATTTTTTAAAATAATAATTCATTCGTCAATGCTATTATCGAGGATATTTATCCTTGATGGCGAACAAAGAGTATGATTCAAGAAAATGTGAAGTATGTTGTTGCTAAAAACTCCGTCAAGAACACTAGAGCGTTTAGAAAGATTACAAAAATCTATTTAATCAACTCGTGAGCTTCAGGCATGTCAAATTTGGATAAAAGTGTCAGTACTTATTCTAGAGTTGATACCGAGTGTTTAAAACACTGTTGGTTTGTTTTACGTTAGTAAAATCTTGTATTAATTAAAAATGTATGAAATAATGAATGCGTACTATTTTTAATAACTATTATTCATAAACGTGTAATAAAAAAGGATAAATATGAGTTACAAAAAAAATTTATTTATTCATTAAATTTCTGTAACTATTTTATCGTGTAATAATTTTAATAACTTTCTTTTACAGGCAGTAGTAATAATGACAATTTAGACGATGTCTATCGACTATTAGATGCTGATCTTCGACCTCTTACGCCAGACAACACGTGTCAATTATCGATAAATATATTTGAAGAACATAAGGCTCTTGCTGAAGAGTACCTCAAAGTTCAGACAGAAATTGCTCTAGTGAGTCAGTATAAAAATGATATGTTAAAAAGTTTAAGTGCGGATAGCATAAGACAACAGGAGGAACTACGAAAGCTTGAAGACGAAAAAGTATGTTTTATTTTAAAATTCAATTTTAATCATATAAAATAACATTTTTATTTCATGATTAATCTTTAAATCTTGAAATAAAGAAAAAATACAAATATAGATTATTTAATACTATCACATTTAACAGACAATAAAATATTTTTGATAAATAAATATTCTATTTATTATAAACACTTGTTTTAGGAATCTTTAATAAAATTATATCGCAATTTGAAGAGACAACTGGAGATAATGAAAGGCCAGAGAAGACCTGGAACTTCGTCTACAACGAATCCTTTAGTGAGTGATGATGGATGGGTTTGTGTGCCTCGACAAGAACCTTCACGGATATCATAATTAATTAATTAATTACCTGAAGGTTGACTGATTAATGTAATATTTTTTTAATTTCTTATGTTATTCTTTTCTTCACTTTATCTTGTTCTCGTACAATTATAAGTCTTTATAAATTAATTGACTATTTTAAATATACTATTTTTGTGACGCAATAAAAAAATGATTGAGAGAATACTTTTGGACATTTCATCATTTATTTTTGCAGCAGAAAAATAATTTGAATTTATTTTAATAATTTAATTTATCTTAGAATGTTTTGTTTGAAAAAGTATTTAAATGATTATGCAACAATTTTTTGAAAATAGTTTTTTTTCAATGAAAAAATATTTTGATTTTTTAATTGGTATGAAAAATATTTAGTCTTGAAATCTTTATTAAAACCAAAAAAATTAAAAAAAAAATTAGAACATTCTAATAAATATTGAAAATTTTATTGATTTCTAAGATCATTTTCATTTTATTTTTTTTATTCTTAAGGATGATTTGGAGGATGTTTTAGAGCAAAAGTTACATCTTTATCTGACAAATCATTTTTGTTGTCGTCCTCTGTCGGCTTTCCATCATTCTCAGCCTCAGTTTGCAGCTGTGCCTGCCACATTTCATGATAAACACCACCATAGCTAATTAATTCTTCATGCTTTCCACGTTCAACGATTTCTCCGTCCTTTAAAACTAATATTTCTGAGGCATGGATTATTGTTGATAATCTATGAGCAATCATAATTGTTGTACGATTTGCACAAACACGATTTAATGCAGCTTGAATGTTTCTTTCAGTTTGCGTATCAAGTGCACTCGTTGCTTCATCTAATAAAACTATTTTCGGGGCTTTTAACATCGTTCTTGCAATGGCTACACGTTGCTTTTCACCACCGCTCAGTCTTAAACCCCTTTCTCCAACCTGAAAAATAAATATTTATTTTTGAAATATCCTTTATAGCTTGTTTCAAATAGATGTTTTCATAAAATAAATTTAGAAAATTATTTGAACGATGTAATAAAAATAAGTACAGAAAAACGGTGATGTTTCTCCATCACTTACTTGTGTTTCATATGCTTCAGGAAATGTAAGAATTTTTTCATGAATCTCAGCATTTTTAGCTGCTGCAATAATATCTGCCTCTGGAGCATCTATTTTGCCATATTGAATATTATATTTTATCGTATTATTAAATAGGACAGTATCTTGCGGAACAACACCTACAAAATTAATTTTTTTCATTAATAAACCGAAAAAAAATGAATATTTAAAATATTGAATCTAATTCATTATCACACCTATTTCACTTCTTAATGAATCTTGTTTAACAGTTTTAATATTCTGTCCATCAATACTAATTGATCCTTGTTCCACATCATAAAATCTAAAAAGAAGTCTCATAATTGTGGATTTTCCAGCTCCGGAAGGCCCAACAATTGCAATAGTTTTTCCAGCAGGTACAGTAAAGCTTACATTTTTTAAAATGACTTTTTCTGGGACATAACCGAATGTAACATTTGAAAATTCTACTAATCCACGTTTGACAATCAATGGACCTGCACCAGGTGCATCAATTACTTCTTGATCTTCACGCAATAAATCAAACATATTTTCCATGTCAACAAAACTTTTCTGTATCGCTCGATAATAAGTTCCGAACCAATTTAATGGAACATACAATTGAATAATATAACTGGCAAAAAGAACATAATCACCAACAGTTAAGGTTTTTTCATAAACGATCATATGCAAACACAAAATTGATCCAGTAAGAAGACCACCGCATACGATAATATTTTGTACAGTATTTAAAATATTCAAGGTAATCATTGACTTCCATTCTTCAACTTGAAATTTCAGAATCGCTTCTTTATATGATTTAACTTCATAACTTTCAGCTCCATAATATTTTACAGTTTCAAAATTTAATAAACTATCAACACTTCTCGCATTTCTAGCGTTATCTGCAAGATTCATTCGTCGTTGAAATTTAGTTCGCCATTCAGTTACTCCAATGGTTGCAACTAAAATCATGTAATATTAGAAAAATATTCAATTCAAATAAATATTTATTTTATAATAAACTATGAATATTTACCAATGTACAGGAACATGGTGATGAATACAATAAGGCCAAACCAGTGATTAAAGGAACTGACAAAAAATATAACAGCAATCAAAATATCAATAATAGTAGGAACGATAGAGAAAAGAATATAATTTAATAAATTATTGATTGAATCTGTTCCACGATCCATAATTCGTAACACTTCTCCAGTTTTACGTCCCAAATGCCATCGAAGACTCAAGCTATGTAAATGTCTAAACAATTCCACTTCGACTTCTCTAGTAGTGAATTGTTGGATTCTTATCCATAAAAATGATCTTAAATTGTTAAGTACTCCCATGCTGCCAGTTCCTCCACCTTGGAGAAATTTAAATAGTACATAAATAACAATCAAATCCCAACGGTAATCAGGGTTACCAGTTGTATCTGTAAGGCTATCAACAATCTTTTTATTATATATTGGAACGTAGAGATTTATACCACGACCAGCTGCCAATAAAGCAAAACAAAATAGAACTCTTAATTGCAAAAGAAATCCTCCTGGCCATAAGAATGGTGCAAGAGTTTTAACTTTGTACCAAAAATTTTTCCAAGTAGACTGATTGTCATCTGGTCTTCTTCTATAATATCTTGAGTTGACATTGCTGTCATTTAAAGTTCTGTAGTTAGGTTCAGAGTTTCCATTAATTCCCGGTGCTCTCAATCCCAACGCAAATATCATTAGGTTGGTTATATACCGCAAAACAAATAAAGACATTTCTATTTGATCACTTGGCGTATTTAAATCAAACCACCAATCATCTTTTCTAATATTAAAAAAAGCTGCATTCTCTCCAACAAAGGCGATAGTCCAAAAACCTAGTAGAACAATTCCATGACCTCGTGGAGGAACTGATGGTAATAATTTGTGCCTCTCAACCCTTAAAATATGCACTGAATAGGGGTAAACAATTATTGTCAAACATGTTGTTAAAATCATGTATCCATAGACTTTCTTATCATCTAGAATCGTCGCTTGTAGAATTATTCGAGTTAAACTGAGTAACGGTACAAGGTATAATAGAAATTTTTGTAAATTATATAATTTGCTATGAGGTAAGATATTTCGATTTACTTCTGTTCCATATTTCCAGTACATCCATAATTGTAAAGAACCGAAGACCAAAAGATAAGATGATACTGTAGCAACAGTCACAGTTTCTAGGAAGCATTTAGAGATACGATGAGTAATCCATACATCATCGAACGTGATGTTTGGCGGACAAAATGTCATCGTAATATTATCCATGATTTCAAACTGCCACTTTAATTAACTTTCTAATTCAATGAGAATTTTCAATATCTATTCAATCATTTTGAGGTTATCTAACTTCCTGCGAATTACTTTCCACTGGTATTGCTTTTTCGTACCTGAAACAAACATTTTGAGTGTTTATAAGAACGTTGTGATAAATGTCCTCAAAATGTTTTTGTCCATCAACCTTCTCCATCTTTTCAGTACTTTGTAACTTCAAAAAATTTTTACTGAATATAAAGTATACTTATGTATATTGGAATAATAATATTGGAGTGGCAAAATACTTTAATAAAAGTAAAATTAGAATAATAACTTTTTGAATCTGACCATTTTGGAGTCAACTAAAATTTAAATAGACATTAATTAATTAATTACTTACTTACTTAGAGAAGCCGAATATGTTTAAAAAAAGTCACGTCTTCTTGATTGCGTAATCAAAAAGATTACAAATGATATTCACTTTATTATCATTGAATAAAATCAACAGATTATCGTAAAAATTCAAACTCCATAAAATAATAATTGATAAAAAAAATTCGAGGAAATTTTTTCATTGATGATAATCTTTACTTTCACACACGATTTTTTTTATTCAAAAAATCAATGTAAATATAAAATTATAAATGATCTATAGGTTATTCAGGTGTTTGATACTTCACTCATTATTAAATAGAAGAATTATAATTTCGCATTTATTTATTAGATTTGTGTTTTAGAAAGTCATTGTTATGTATCACGTGATATTGACATGAAATTTTCGATTTATCAATAAGTAATTTACCGACTAATATTTTTATTACCGACATATGGTTGTTTACCAATTTTTCTAAAGTTGACATAGTGTACAATTTTCTCAATAGAGTGAGTAGAAGACTATTTTAGTTATTTAACGGTTTTCAGATGAACGCATTAAATAATAATAAACAATTGTTTTCGATACAAAAATAGCTAAGTGCATTGTAATCATTGACATTACTTTGATATAAATAATTAAATTAAAAGAAAATCAATTCTGTGATATAATGAGTTTATAATTTTCAATCAAGAAAATGATATTTGTTTAAACATGATGTTTGGGTGTTTCGATTTGACGAACTTTACCTAACAATATTTTGCAACTCTAATGTCTTATAATTTATACCAATATTTTCGCTTTTTTCTAAATAAGTTTATGTAATAATTTATGTTTATGTATCAATCAAGATATGATATTTCTACAACAATATTTATTAGACAGCAACTTGGTGAGTACTTAATTTATATTATGTAATTACAATAACATATATGTAAAGTTTTCTAGTAAATTTAACGTCAGACAGTTAATAACAAATTCACACTGACATTATTTTCACACTAATTCAAATATCACTGTTGTACCTGATCATCTAATTATTTTTAAAACTATCTATTTCTTTGATATCACTGTGATCCAACGTTATTATTTAGCTGTAGCAATAATTTAATTGCTGTAATCTGTCGAATAGCATCTGCTTTTGCTCATATTAGTGCAAACGTACTTTTTGCTATTATTGTACGCCATACTTACGAACAATTATCGATTCTGGCCAATAAAATTGAAACTATGGCTAAACCTGTCCAGAAATTTCAAGAGGTTATCAAGTATAAGATTAAAACATATCTTATTTTGATCAGATATATGTATGAGCTTACCTTGATGATGGATGATAAAAACTATTGTTGATTTCCACTAGCGGTGGGTTTAGGTTTGTTAAAAAAGATGAGAATATCTTCAATATTCTAGTACTCATAACTGTTTTTAGTTTCATGTTAATCAGTTCGGTATTTTGAGATCTGAACTAACCAGTGCAAGTTAAATAAAAGAGTCCAAAGATGAACGCCTAAAACAAAAAATCACAAATAACTACTAATTAATATATTTAATAAAAGATTTTTATATTTTCATTAAAAAAAAGTCAATTATTTTCAGTTTGTAAAGGGAAATCGAGAAAAATTAGTAATAATTCAGTGAAAATTTTTTTCTTCAATTGTGAGTGGATAAGAAGCTTATTAATTGTTTATGTAATAATTGAAGTAAGTATTGACTAACTATGATATTTTATCTCATTAAATACACCAATTCATGTTGGTGTTTACAATATAATTGAACCTTTCTCGTTATGAATAAATCTAATGAAGTATCGATCAAGAATGTTGATTCAGGTCCAAGATTCTTTGATAATCACAATTAACTTGTAACTTGTACCTGTTTCTAACCAACCTACGATCAACCTTCTATTTTCTCGTATTTTTTAGCTATAAAAAACTTAACACTTATAGGAGTTATGTTTGAATACTTCATGCTGGCTAGAAAATTGGTTCTAAATGTGTGTAGACTTGGAATGCATCTATGCAATCACAATTTTTAGTAGTATTTGATCACTTTTTATTTAGAGTTTGTGAATATCGAACAGTAGAAACATTAAAAACACGAGCGAGGAAATATGAATACCCTGCATCAATGAAAAATGAACTTCACTTAAGATCACAAGACAATGCCATGTACTTTGTATGACTACTTCAGCAATACTGAAGGAACAGTAGATATCGATCAATTTATCCAGATAGGAGGGATAAGAGTAATAATATGAAAAGTTTCAGGAACGATGACGCTTTATCATAAGTTTATTGATTGGCTCATTTATTATTTAATACAATATAAAAGATGTTTCCTCGGACGTCGTACAGCTTGAAGAGCGTCAGTCGTTATACAACCATCAAAATCAAAGGTCTAATGAGTAACAACATGATCACTAGTTCTTTTTTAGGAAATATACAAAAAAATAAAAGTGAGAATGAGGAAAATTTTGACTATGAGACAAAGTTGAGTCGAACCTTACTTAAATTTTTCGGGCTATGGTCATATAACACAAATAGTCGATGGATACATTTATTATGTAATCTTCAAGCCGGAGCTTTTTTTTTGTTTTTTCTTCTTGCATGCAATTTACCATTTATGAACGCTTTGGTAAAAGTATGGGGAAGTTTAATATTGATGTCAGATAATTTAGTGATTTCAATTTCTGTACTGTGTGTTGAAGTTAAATTTATAATATTTTGGATCAAGAAAAAAGGTTTACAATTGGATTTAATTCTTAATTTATTTCTCAGAAGAGAAGTTGTAATAATGTTATTTCACTTTTTTAGAAGTAACTTCACTCTTCATGCAGATGTATCAGAATTGGCATCAAGATCAAACGGAAGATCAACGCGAAACAATGTTAAAATACGTCAAGATTTCTAATTTAATATCGATTGCTGGGATAATAACTATTTCAATTAATGTTGTTTTATATTATAGTGGCTCGTTTTTCGGTTTAACACTCCGCACAGAAACCAATCTAACTGACATACCTGGTTATACGCTAGCAATTCAAAGCTCTTATTTTTATGATATTACCAAAGGTCGACTTTATGTTCTAACCAGGTTGTCTCAAGTAACATTTGGCATAGTCGGTGGAATGTTTAACACCACTATAGATATAATTTTCAGCATATTTGTATTGCATACTTGTGGTCAATTAGCAAATATTGCTAATAGCATTAAAAGTATTAATGAAGTCGAATTTGAAACCTTTCCGACTGTTTTAAAATTTTTTGTGTTGAAACATTTAAAAATTATCAAGTATGTTTTTTTTGTATGTTTGCTTTTTTCTATGATAGCCTTGAAATTTACAATTTATTGACAATTGAATATAGATTTATTTCAGCAGTAGAAAATATCTTCAGTATTATGATATTTTTTTTCGTATTATTATTTGTGATTGTTTTCAGTGTTTTGGCGTTACTACTTATCAGTGTAAGTGACCTTTTTTCTATTTTCTTAATTCCATCATTAATTGAGGAATAAATTTACTTCTAGGTGCTATCGAATGACGTTGATGTATCAATACTCCAAATCAATTTTTACATTGCCTTTCTCACCTATTTTATATTTTTGATGTTTGTCTATTCATGGGTTGGTTAATGTCTTATAGATCATGTACGTTACTTTCATGTCCAATTGTCCAGTTACAATTACTGAATATTTACTGGTTGTTTAGAGTGAAAGGGTTCATGAAGCACTTTATGATTCTGATTGGTGTTTACTAACACCTCGTGTAACTCAACAATTATTGATGATTTTCATCAGATCTCAAAAATCTTTGACAATTAGTGTGGGAAAATTCGCACCTCTGACTTTAGCAAACTTCTTACAAGTAAGCTACTTTTTAGATTTATAGAAGTTCTATCTTCGGATTATATTTTAAATCTTAATTTTAGTTGATGAAATCATGTGGTGGATATGTCTCATTTCTTCTGGCAATGAGTGACTAAACATTCTGAATGAAGTAATAAATTTTTTAGATCAATGTATTAAAAAATTTTTTAAGCATTATGTAAAAGTTTTTTTATTATATTAATTTGAATTTGTTTCGAATCTTTTTCTGAAACTGTTTATGAAACATCGACACGAAATACCTTATTTTTGTGATAAAAACATTGTTGAATATTTTCCAATATTATGTTGAAGTCGTGTTTACCGCATATTCTTTCAGTATACACGGAGAAAATAGTCTCGCCAATACTGCGAGAATCCTAAAAAACTTTACTAGAAACTCCTTTACTCATATGGATGATCGTTAAGCAAATCAAAAGTTTACTAAAAATATCTCGTCAATAGGTAGTCGAGGTTTACAGTAAATTTTAGTAAAATTGATTTGTCTAGAAAATAATTTTCACATATATTGTTGCTAATTCTATTAAATTGTTCAACAACATATTAAAAAAATTAATTATTCGGTAAAATGAGCGACAATATATTTAATTAACGTATTATTTACCATAATCTCCAGGAGATGTTATACTGTTTTAATCCCCTGTAATAAAAATCGTAGCGGTTCAGATATAAAATAAAAAAAACTAATTAAATTGTTTAAAAATAATTTGAATAATTAAGACATTGTTTTGTTGATTCTTTAGTCAGCTTGGCTGTTCAAAATTATTAAAAATAATTAAAATTTTTAAATGTATAAAATTATCGTAACTTAATTATTCTAATATACTTTTTATCCGAAAGTATGAAAAATTGTTTTATATTACCAATAAAATTTTAATAGTCATTTTTACTGATGTGTGTACCAGAAAGGCTCATGAAAGGAGTTTTTTTTGTTAAAAAAATTCTAAAAATAAATAAAGGTATAGATTTTGTAAACATGTTTCTTAAAAGACAATTGAATAGAAAATTGCCGAAAAACGTTTCAATGACTCATCGAGCCGTTGCTTTTATATCAAAAAAAAAATATAAGTAAATAGAGTAATGGAGAAATTAAAAAAAAAAATAGGGGAACATGGAACAAGATAGATCTAAGAAGTGAATCGGTTTTTTCAATTTTAAAATGACTAATACACATTATAATGTGATTCAAGCAGTAAACATATTTTTATATCAATTTTAACTTTTGTATAAACAGCTTCGAAGGATCCGTTTTGGCTCAGAAAGTGGACGGAATATTGTTAGTAATAATGCAAAATAAGTTCAGACAATTAAATATTGTTTATAGTAATATAATTTGACAACTTACACTTATATCATATGTATAAGAACATGAATAGCATAAGCGAGGAAATATGAATACCCTGCATCAATGAAAAATGAACTTCACTTAAGATCACAAGACAATGCTATGTACTTTGTATGACTACTTCAGCAATGCTGAAGGAGCAGTAGATATCGATCAATTTATCCAGATAGGAGGGATAAGAGTAATAATATGAAAAGTTTCAGGAACGATGACGCTTTATCATAAGTTTATTGATTGGCTCATTTATTATTTAATACAATATAAAAGATGTTTCCTCGGACGTCGTACAGCTTGAAGAGCGTCAGTCGTTATACAACCATCAAAATCAAAGGTCTAATGAGTAACAACATGATCACTAGTTCTTTTTTAGGAAATATACAAAAAAATAAAAGTGAGAATGAGGAAAATTTTGACTATGAGACAAAGTTGAGTCGAACCTTACTTAAATTTTTCGGGCTATGGTCATATAACACAAATAGTCGATGGATACATTTATTATGTAATCTTCAAGCCGGAGCTTTTTTTTTGTTTTTTCTTCTTGCATGCAATTTACCATTTATGAACGCTTTGGTAAAAGTATGGGGAAGTTTAATATTAATGTCAGATAATTTAGTGATTTCAATTTCTGTACTGTGTGTTGAAGTTAAATTTATAATATTTTGGATCAAGAAAAAAGGTTTACAATTGGATTTAATTCTTAATTTATTTCTCAGAAGAGAAGTTGTAATAATGTTATTTCACTTTTTTAGAAGTATTTTTACTCTTCATGGAGATGTATCAGAATTGGTATCAAGATCAAACGGAAGATCAACGCGAAACAATGTTAAAATACGTCAAGATATCTAATTTAATATCAAAGGCTGGGATAATAACGATTTCAACTAATATTGTTATATACAATAGTGGCTCGTTTCTCGGTTTAACACTTCGCACAGAAACTAATCTCACTGACATACCTGGTTATATGCTACCAATTCAAAGCTCTTATTTTTATGATATTACTAAAGGTCGACTTTATGTTCTAACTAGATTGTCTCAAGTAATATTTTGCATACTCGGTGGAATGTTTAACACCACTATAGATGTAATTTTCAGCATATTTGTATTGCATACATGTGGTCAATTAGCAAATATTGCTAATAGCATTAAAAGTATTAATGAAGTCGAATTTGAAACCTTTCCGACGGTTTTAAAATTTTTTGTGTTGAAACATTTAAAAATTATCAAGTATGTTTTTTTTGTATGTTTGCTTTTTTCTATGATAGTCTTGAAATTTACAATTTATTGACAATTGAATATAGATTTATTTCAGCAGTAGAAAATATCTTCAGTATTATGATATTTTTTTTCGTATTATTATTTGTGATTGTTTTCAGTGTTTTGGCGTTACTACTTATCAGTGTAAGTGACCTTTTTTCTATTTTCTTAATTCCATCATTAATTGAGGAATAAATTTACTTCTAGGTGCTATCGAATGACGTTGATGTATCAATACTCCAAATCAATTTTTACATTGCCTTTCTCACCTATTTTATATTTTTGATGTTTGTCTATTCATGGGTTGGTCAATGTCTTATAGATCATGTACGTTACTTTCATGTCCAATTGTCCAGTTACAATTACTGAATATTTACTGGTTGTTTAGAGTGAAAGGGTTCATGAAGCACTTTATGATTCTGATTGGTGTTTACTAACACCTCGTGTAACTCAACAATTATTGATGATTTTCATCAGATCTCAAAAATCTTTGACAATTAGTGTGGGAAAATTCGCACCTCTGACTTTAGCAAACTTCTTACAAGTAAGCTACTTTTTAGATTTATAGAAGTTCTATCTTCGGATTATATTTTAAATCTTAATTTTAGTTGATGAAATCATGTGGTGGATATGTCTCATTTCTTCTGGCAATGAATGATTGAAAATGTTTAGTCATCTTATTATATCTTTAGTATTAATTTTCAAATAAATATATGATTGTTTTCTGTACTGTAAAAATTGTATTTTATTTTCTTCCTGAAACTGTTTGTAAAGTCACAAAGGATGGACAAATATAGTGATCAAACGTAAATCGGCACTTAAATGTCATATGGGCAAACGTATATTTTTTTAGATTTTTAACCCAAAAATGAACTTTTATACCAGTCCCTCTTCTCGTAAAGTTTAAGTTAATTAAGTTAAATTTAATCTAACGCCAAACTTCGCGCGCAGTTTTTATGTCGTGCCGCCATCTATAAGGTTACGTAAGTACTAGTCCCCATTAATGTAAACACAACATTGCATGTGCATACCCACGTGTACACCAAGTTTGCATTTTATTTTTTCTATTTTTGATACAAATAGTGATTAAAAGTATTAATAAAAAATAAAACATTTATTGCTATGATATAGTAAACATACTACATTTATTTATGTCGCATTGTAAGAGTGTTTTTTATATATTTCCTTTGTATTGAACGTGTATAACCTATACATTTTTAAAAATTTATTTTACGTGAACATTTGTTACAATAAATAATGGGTAAAAATAATAGACATCAAAAAAACCTTAAAGCTGAAAAGTCAAAAGTTAAACTTAAAGCGAATAAGTCGAAAGTCTTACCGAAGGGACAAAATGTTACTGATATTAATTTCAAAGTTAAAAAAATTGTCATCAAGGAGCAATTAAAACAGCATGAACTGGAAGAAATTCTTAGCCGACGTAAATTAAATGTGAAGGTAAATTTATTCGAACAAAAAATTTATCCAATGACGATAAAATTATAAAAAATTTAATTTTTATTTAGGATTTATTATCTCGTTTACAACATTACAATTCAACAGTACGTCAAGAAGCTATTAAAGAGCTGAAAGAAATATTACTTCAATATCCGAAGGACGTTTTGAGCTCTCATTTAAATAATTTACTACAAGGAATTGCGTCTTTAACGTTAGATAAAGAAAAACCAATTCGTCAAGATGGTGTAAAAGTTTTAAATTTTATTCTAGAGACAATATCAGCTGAACAATTAGCACCGTTTGCTGATATTTTAATTTCTTACTTGTGTTGTGCAATGACTCATATACATCCTAGTGTTAAAGAAGACTCTCTTAATTATTTGGATGTAATAGTGTTACATTGCAAAGAATTGATAGCGAAGAATACATGTAGAATTTTTCCACATTTCTTGGATATGATTTCACGGCATCATACCCAATCTCAAACTAATCGTCAACTTTCTATTACTATTAGTTCAAGAAATACAAGCATTAAATGGAGAATTAAAGTACTGGAAAGATTATCAAATATTTTCAGTGCAATGATTGATAACAAGAAATTACACCAAATTCAAAATAATTCAAAAACACAAAAAAGAATTTATGTTGATGATAAAACTTTTTATATTCCATTATACAATGAATACAATTTAGAAGTATGTCGAATTGATTTTAGTGAAGATAATTCTAATGAACTTTATGGAAAAGATTATCAAGAGGCTCATGAATTCAAAAAGTATATTGAAATTTTAATGCCTTTAATTTTAGACAGTTGGTTAGAAGTACGACCAAAAGAAAAATTGACAGGCGAAGAAGCACCATTGATTTCTGATGAAACTGCTAATTATTTGAACTCTATCACAACAAATATGCAATTGATTATTGAATTTGTGGATCTCATTCAACCGTTACACGATGAAATAAGTAAAAATATTTGTGATAAATTTCAGAATAATTTTGTCAAATATTTTTTCAATCATTTTCCATATAGTAGATCGAACACGATCGAAAGAAGTAAGAAGCGACAAGAGGATTTCAAAATGTCAGATATTGACACTTGTTTAAAGCAGAATTTATCATTATCTTATATATTTATGTGGATGATTTCTGTCAATACACTTAGGAAATTTAGTGAAAATACAAAAGAGATTTGTAGAACAATTCTAGAATTTATAACTGGTAAGTAGTTTTAATAAAAACAATTTAATTTCAACTTTTTTGATCAACTGAAATTTTTTTTTTAGAATCAGTTAATAATTGGAAGTGCAGTAATGGTTTAAATACACAGCTGATAAAATTATTAAGATTAATTTTTATTAAATCTAGTAAAATTTTACATAAAAACAATATCAATTTAGACTCACTTTTACGATCGGTGATCGTTGCAAGCTCTAAACAATTGAAGAAAGAATTGTTAGAAGTATTAGGAGACATTATTATTAATACTCATTTAAACCACTTGCACAAGTAAGAAAGATGCTTTCTATCAAATAATATTTTAATATTAAAAACTTTTTCCTAATAATTGCTTGATTTTAGTGAGCCTTCGTTCAAAGAATTTATAATGACTCTGCCGGATTTATTATTGAAAGAAAAAATCTATGATAATACAATAAAAATAATCAACAGCGTGGTACTAAGGTATCGAAATTGGATAAAAGACAAACTTTTTATGAAACAAACAGAAATATTAGGTAACTTGCATTACAATTTTACTGTTTATAAATTTAAACACTCACAAATAACCGATAATTATTTTTATTTTTTTCCTTCTACAGAAAATGCCAAAACTATTGAAATTATTGATTCAAACAATGATAAAGAATCAAGATTGATGATTTGTAATTTATTCCATTTTTTTAATGGAGAGATTTATTATTAAATGTTATTAAATCAAATACTTTGACAATTATTTCGAATTAACTTGAATCTATTATGTGCTTTCACGTTTAAAGAGAATCCATTAAATGAGTACTCTACCATTATGGGATTATATCCTAATTGATTATCACATCTAATCCGCGTATTGAGGATATAAATATAATTACCAGAAAATTATAGTAAGTATAATTTAGATATAAACAGGTTAATCAGAAGCTATTATATCACAAACTTACAACTTTCCTTTCTTTAAAAGCTGCAAAGTTTAATGAGTATTAGTACCTTTTTTATTATTACCATAAAAAGATTAACAATACAAAATGTATTTAAGTATCAATTAATGAGTAAAATTAAAAAAAAATAATATAAATGATAAAGATGTGTATTATGAAATTAGTATAGGCCGAAATTTATTACAATTTTATGGTGTATGACTGAATTATGGCGAAAATCGATGGCTTTAAGCACTATTGAACTTGCAAACAGAAGCAGTCATGTTTTTTTCGGTACGAAATGTTAATTTACCTCTTATAAGTGCATTAATTAGAGTGTGAGGTCATTTAACTCTAATAACAGTCAATTTTATTACTACTGGTCCTATGCTTTGTTGTGAATTTAAATTACCTTAAATTTTTCTTTAAAGATGTTGCGATATTATTTAAACGGATAGTGAAAAATTGGCATGAAATTAAAACAGAAAATGAGGAGAATGTGATGCTGGAATATGCTAAAATGTCAAGATTTATAGTATTTTGTGCACTGATACTCACAGCTTTTAGTATTGCAATATTTCACGATGCTGTATGTCTAGGAATAGTGATACGAACAGAAAATAATATAACTGATAAAAACGGTTATCCTCTTGCTGTTCAAAGTATTTACTTTTATGATATTACTGTGGGGAATCGATATATTTTGACAAGAATCAATCAATTATTATACTGTATTTTCGGTAGTGTACTTTATTTGTCGACAGATATTTTATATTGCGTATGTATTCTACATATTTGTGCTCAATTAGAAAATTTCTCTCATCATGTCAGAAATATAACAAATACAAATATTGCATGGGTGTTTTTATTTGCAATACTTTTCACAGTTTTATCCTTTGGATTGATCAGTGTAATCAATTTAATCTGTGTTATTATGATTCGATTTATTTGAAAGTTAATCGATATTTCAGGGCCTGACGGACGAAATAAAGTTATCAATGATCCAAACGAGTTTTTACATAAATTTTGCTAGTTGTGCGATATTCATCACCTTTGTACTTAGCTGGCTTGGACAAAATCTTATTAATCAGGTAAATATTTCTTTTAGACTTTGACGATTTAGTCATTTCATTTCTGATTTGTTTATGACTGAAAAATCATGTTTTGCTATCATTCCTGAGCAAAAAGTATGTTTTTTCATTTGAAAGATGTAAAACTTTTTGCTCTAGTATTTTTAAAATTAATGAAGATTCCTCAGGAAGATGATAAAACTATTTCAGATCATATGATTGCCCTCTTACTCGTGATGTGAACTGGTCTACTTTGCTTTTTTAATATATAATGAACTGTTATTATTTAATTTACAGAATGAAAATTTAAATATCGCTCTTTATGATTCTGATTAGCATTTGCACACAAATAAAAAGATGCTTCAACTATTGATGATATCCATAAGAACACAGAAATCAATGTTTATATCGATAGGAAAATTTGCTCCTTTAACTTTGGAAACATTTCTACAAGTAAATGATTGATCATTAATAATCTATAAAATGGCTTATTGATTTTTCAAAAAATCACCAAACGAATCTATCGTTTCAGTTAATAAAAACATGTGCAGGATATGTTTCATTTCTAATAGCAATGAAAGATTAAAAAATTATTTAGAAAGGTAATATCGTTATTCATAAAATAACTCATTTTTTGTTATACATGAACAATATTATATATTCTTCCTAAGTTACATTAATAATATTCAACAACAAGTAGCAAATTAATCCTATAGATGTTTATTACATTATATTTATCCTCATGATCTCCCAACATTATACTGATCAATATACCGTGTAATGTCTGAATGTATTTTAATTATTTCACATAATTATTTAAAATATATTTTAAGAGAAACTAAAAGTGAATAGCAATAGAACTTAAAGATTGAGGTTAAGGATTATTACTCAAGTTATTTTTTTTTGAGTTTTCCTAAAATTTCGTTAAAATAAGAAAGGTTTCGAAGAATAGTTGAGGAAATCATCTTTTAGATATTTTATTGCTTTTGGAAAACCCACGTGGCGAAAAGCAATAAAATTTTAAAAAAAGAGTACGTGGGGTAAGAGGAACGTTTGCTTTCCAAGAAGGGAAAGACCATGCGAAGGGACTTGTGCGCGCCTGAAGCAAGGGACTTCTAATTATGTCACATTCGACTAAATAAGTACGTAAGGTTTGATGCATCAGTCAGTTGTCGAGAAAGTAAAATCGAGATCAGATCGTTGTGGAACATTTCTTGAAATCGTAAGTCTTGTGATGTCTTAAACATTGTATTGATAATATTTCAAAGTTTGTAAATTTTTGTATGAAGTTTATTTGATCCTCAAATTATTCTTAAATTGATATTCAAATTAATTCGGGAGTAAAAGTGAATAATTGCGCTGACTGGAGCATGGACTAAGGACCAATTGATTGTAATTCATCTCGACCAGAGTAAAAGAAATCATCTGTTGGTAACGTTTAAATTGTTGTAATAATTCTCAATCAATAAATTTTGTTATTGTTTTCATATAAATCACACATTTTCACTTTCTCTATCGAAGATCCCCTCATCCCTGTCTATTGGTCGAAAGGTTAGGACTAAAGAAAGGAACTTAAAGTCTCTCAGGTTGAACATATGGTTTACATATTGACACTTTTAGAGAACAAAAATACATAACAATTTTTGAGGGCCTCTCCGGACATAATTAGAAGTCCCTTGCTTCAGGCGCGCACAAGTCCCTTCGCATGGTCTTTCCCTTCTTGGAAAGCAAACGTTCCTCTTACCCCACGTACTCTTTTTTTAAAATTTTATTGCTTTTCGCCACGTGGGTTTTCCAAAAGCAATAAAATATCTAAAAGATGATTTCCTCAACTATTCTTCGAAACCTTTCTTATTTTAACGAAATTTTAGGAAAACTCAAAAAAAATAACTTGAGTAATATTAGTTAACCTCAATCCTTAAGTTCTATTGCTATTCACTTTTAGTTTCTCTTAAAATATATTTTGAATAATTATATGAAATAATAAAAATACATTTAGACATTACACCCTCCGTGTTAGACGGAAGTGCGAGTGACAAAATTTGATCGAGTACGACGTTTTTCTTTTCAAAATCAAACATTTACAATGAGATTAGTAACACTCAATTCATACATGGTTAGTTATTTGAAATTACTTTCTATCCGCTGGTTGACAATGATAAACTATTTTATAACCCTTCCGAAGACCTTTTGGCAGCTCACTGATGGCTCCTTTGTCATCCTTCTGCAAATTAGTTGAAGTTGAGTAGGCTAATTTTGCGGAAAGTTATTCACTTGACAAATACTCGAGTTGTCATCTCTGTTCTTTGATTATCTATATCTGGATATAATGGAGAACTAGCTTCAGCTGCTGTAACATCTTCTCCACGTTCAACGTTTATATCCGATATCTTTACATTTGGCGAAGAATATTTATTTGAATTATCTTTTGCCAAATGAACCAATAAGTATGTTATTGAGTCCCAGAGGGCTCCTATTAATTTCAATGACCATCCGTACACGGTATGAAGTGTGTAACCATGTACAATGGTATCTATTATCAGTTTACATATTTTCAGGACCATAAACACGCCAATCAACCTTGCACTGACAGTCCCAAATTTGACAAATCTTCCTCAGGTCTTCTCCCAGGCATTCTTGGCTAATTTTTCCAACGATTCTTTATCCAGCATATTATAAATTAATGGCTTATTTGATATTGATCCTCTGGTTGCCTTTCCCGCAACTGTCTCTAATACTGCTGCCTGTTCCATGGTGAACATTATTCGATTCCTCATAGTTTCTAAATCTTCGGACGTGTAAATTCTGCTACTCGCCAAATGAACAGGATTTTTGTATTCCCAAGTAATTTTCGAGGCTGGTTTTAGACTCATCGGTGGTGCTGTTTCGACATGAACTTATACCATGTCTGTCCAATTCTATAAAATTGTAATAGTGGCGAATTACATGGAATTTGTGCAGCATGATTTGTGATTAGATGAGTTTTTGGTGATAAGAAAAAACTTTGATTGTTTCTTAATATTGGTATTCTGTTTTAACAAGTTTCTGTATGCTGAATCTTCACTTCAACTGGAATACATTGTACAATATGAATAACTTCTCCAGCCAAAATTGCCATGAATCCAGGTCCTTTCATGAATCTATAGGCGAATTCATCGGGCTGGGTTGAAGCAATAGCTAGGCTGCTCTGTAGAATCTCCTTCTCTAGCTCACACCTATGCATCATTACATCATGATATAATGTTTGGAGCTGACGTCTAATGTGTCTTTCAACATAAATAAATTTAGTATTAATATAAAGAAAAATGTCCATGTTATCGGTTGTCGTCTTGACTGCTTTAGTTGCTTTCACTTGACCGAGTGAGGTTCCAATAACTATGAAAAGTTTTGGATGCTCAGTCTTTAATAATTTGAGACCACATGAGTCTTCAGCTTCAATTATAGATAATGAAAATGTAGTATCTTTCGACGGAACTGTGTAAATCGTTGCCTTCTTAGTTTCTAATTTTTGAGCTAATCCTCTATATAATGTTGGATATGTAGTTATAGAACAATATCTGTGCGGTAATTGATCCCAGAAGGTATGTCCTTCTTCGGGATCTACACATGTTTTCGAATTTAAATTACATTTAAAACCGGACGGCAAATAAATTTGATTAGAATCCGTTTT